TATGATCCTTATAATCCTTATTTTCCCAAATAATTACTGTTGCCTGATGACAAATTGTTTTATTGGGAGTGTAGTGATTATAATTTGATAATTCATAACAACATTTTGTATTAGGAGATGATCATTGCTTAATAACAGAAGGGGCATAACAAAATATAGAGAAAACATGTTTCTTTTAATTAACCATGTCTTTATGTATTTTGATAATGCAGAACATTACATTGAACATGTTGATGTGAAAAAGTAAAAATGCTATATCACATAATAAATATCATCAAATAATAATTAATTAGTTATAATCCATTTAATCAATCAATTACTACACTGTATACGATATCCCTAGGAGCAGTTACACTTACTGGGGGGTTTATTAACCTCTCACCCCTTAGGAACTCAAGGGTTAAGTCCTCAACTCTAATGATTTTTCTTTTAACAATACATGTAACATGGATCAAACCTGACCACAAAATTTTCAACATCTAATTTCTAAGCTAAGTCATACATTCAAAAAGAGGGACATCTAGGGCTATACCTGAAATCGTAAAGGAGGACTGAAAGTATCGCAACAGATTTCAGCAATCATATGTTGGATTTTGGCTATTTTCTGAGGATTTGAGGAGGTGCATATGTTAGGCCAATGCATTTCCTCCAGGAAAAGCACCCATAGAGATGATAAAATAATTTCTATTTTGAGACAGGGAAGGTGCAAACAACCCACCCACATGCATAAATATATATGTGTATATGTATAAATATATGTGTTTTTACATACAGTTAACCCCTTTAAATGAAAAATACATTCCATCAGGGATTTTAAAGATATCACATATGGGTGACCAAAATTAAGCTGAAAGCAATGGATCACATGAGTTTTCCCTATGGGAAAATAACAGGAAAATATTGTTTTCCGCTTTATCTAAAAGAAATTTATCCTTTTAAAGGTTAACTATGTCTCAAAACGCAACATATTGATGCAACAAAAATTGAAAAACCAGTGGTGAACGGGGTTGAAAATCAGGACGATATTTCCCCAAAAACATGTGGGTGGATTGTTTTCACCTTCGCTGTCTCAAATTCCAAACTATTTTATCATCTCTAAGAGTTCTTTTCCCGTAGGTAATGCGATGGCCTATCATATGCACCTGCTTAAATCCTCAGAAAACAGACAAAATCCAACATATGACTGTCTGAAATCTGTTGCGATACTTTCCGTGCTCCTTTGAGACCTGATATTTCTCAATTTTTCAAATATTGCACTTGTTAAAATTCTTTAACTTCCTTAAAATTCATCTTCGGTATGTTTTACATCTTAGTTTCACACTCTAAAAGTATATGTTTCATCATAGAAGTATTGATGAAAAAGCCATAAGGGTCATCCATGGGTATACCTAAAATTCGTAAATTTGAAACCCTATATTTACAATTTTTCAAATTTTGGACTTGTTTTAAATCATTAACTTCCTTAAAACCCATCTAAATTATGTTTTACATCTTTAGTTCCATTCTACAAAACCATAAATATCATCAAAGAGGGATGGATCTAGAAACTATAGGGGTCAGCCATGGCTATAGCTGGAATTCGTAAATTTGAAACCTTACATTTACAATTTTACGAATTTTGGACTTGTTTAAAACCTATAACTTCCTTAAAACCCATCTAATTTATGTTTTACATCTTAGTTTCACACTATGAAAGCATAAATATCATCAAAGATGGATGGATCTAGAAACTATAGGGGTCAGCCATGGCTATACCTGGAATTCGTAAATTTGAAACCTTATATTTACAATTTTTCAAATTTTGGACTTGTTTAAAACCTTTAACTTCCTTAAAACCCATCTAAATTATGTTTTACATCTTAGTTCCACACTGTTAAACCATAAATATCATCATAGAGGGATGGATCTAGAAACTATAGGGGTCAGCTATAGTCATACACAAAATCCAGTTGTCAAAAATGTCAAATTTTTCGAAAAATCAACAATTTTTTTCTCAGCTCCTACTTCTTCAATGGCTTTGCATCTTTCAGGGTTACTAACCCTGCTATTTGGCACTTCACATGAATTTTTTCAACCTCTTACAGTGTCTAGTTGAGAAGTTAGAATCAAAACAGTAAGAAAATGAGTCACGAATTTGCCCCCTGGGGTACACACTTTGTACTGATATTCAAATTCTTTAGGAGTAATCAGCATCAATAATACTGCAAATTATTCATATATATAATAGCTATGTATGTCACTTACAAACATCAAAATATCTAAGGTTATTTAGTGTGAACAATTTTTTTCCCCAGGGTGGGGTGTTTTTGGGGGGTGGGGGGCTAACTCCTCAAAAAAAAGAACTTCCTACCACTCTGCGAAGCTATCACCTAGGTGGAAATTTCATCCAAGACTCTCCCCTAACTGAAAATACTGCCAAACCAAGTATACACCATTTATTGAGAATTTTCCTCCTCGCCCCTTGAGTATATCACTTGTGGTTATTTAATTAATTACTTCACACTTTTATCAAGGAACGACTTACATCATGTACATCAATTTACTGTAATGGGTATTCCCAATTTCTAACACAACGACATCATCCAAAAGTTGTACAAAAACCCAAAATGCCTGTACAATGCCACGTGCACCAATAAGATAATCTTCCGATGACCCAATGGGACAGAGTCAAGTAGGTCCCAATGAGTTTGGTTGACAAAAACATCGGCGCCATGGTAAAGATCGGATCAAAGCATATTATGATAAACATTTCAAAGAAGGTACAATCCTATGTAGGTGATAATTTGTTAGACATTAAAAAGGGATATAGGATATGTTATCACATGCGTTGCATAATAAACAAATAACTAAGGCATGAATATTGTTTTTATTTCAAATCTCTCATGAATTTTTGAAAAGCGGAGGAATGATGATTCATACTCTCAATATTTTTTACGAAAGTGAGGTTGCATTAAACTATGCCAGATGAATGGGAAAATGGGCTCTTGACACCATTGCATAAGAATGGCGATAACGAAGACCTGAATAACTATCGCGGAATTACTATAAAAGAAGGGTATCGATATGGAGAACTGAATTCAACAATGTTTTTCTCTTAAACCAATCATTGAAAACATTCTGCAAACACGTTATTTTATGTAATGTTGACTGATTGACAACAATTCGATGCAAAAATTATTTAGAAATGTTTTATGGAACTGTTTTTGTTAACATTTTTTTTGTTTTTTAGTGCAATTGTTTTTGCTCCTTTCTATCAATTCTTGAGAATGAAATAAAATGTCTTTCCGAACCTTGTTGGAACAAAATAGCATATACAAAATGTTTTTAGACCTCTCAATATTATAGTTATACAAAGGAATTTTTGGTTGATTTAAAAAAAAGTATTCAAAAAATTAAAACAAAATCCCTTCAAAATAGATAAAAATCAAGATAAACCTTTTATTTCATTAACAAGATACTTTTTAAAAATCAACCAAAATGTCGTCCTTTGTACAATTACAATATTGAGAGACCAAAACATGTTGTTTTTTATTATGTCGTTTTGTTCCAATGAAGTTCGGAAAGATGTTTCATTTCACTCTGGAAACATGATACCAAGAACAAACAAGTGTTGCATGTGTTTTCTAAAACAATATAGATGAAAGTATATATGTATTTTACAAATTATATTGTTACCATTCAAAAGATGACCATTAAATTGACGATGTGTTAAATTTTTAGATTTTTTCTATGACTGGTTTAAAGTCCCCGATAAATCGGGCTACGTATACTGCCGTGTTTACATTAGGGGATTAGAAGAGTTTATTTTTTATTTAGGTATGCAAGCTACGTATATCAATATTAGGCCTTCATGTACTCGTGTGCATGTAATCAGCATGCCCTTCAATATTATGTAAGCCAGGCTATTCAAGTACTGTATAATGTACACTATTTATGTGTGTACTACATACAATACAATTCCCTGGGAAACAAAACACAAATACTTTTTATATGTTCAAAATGAGCCATTTGATTGATGCAAACACTAAATAGCTTCATAAATAACATCTACAAAGTATATCTAATTGTAATTTTCAATTTCAATGGTGAAACTTCCCTGGTTACGATTATATGGGAAATCATCACGAGACGAAGATCGTTCGCCTTCCTGGCTTACCTCTGAATCGTGTACCCGGTAATCTCTTTATATAGTTTAGCGAGAGCGGTGCGCCTGCGCAGTTTTTAACTTTGGCGCACACTTTAAGAGAAACGTGTGTTCAAAAAGTAATTTACAACACTAACCTGCTCGTTCATTGTACGACTAAAGTAGCCAATCCCTACAAGTGAAATTCAATAGGCCTAATCGAGGTTTTAAACAACTTTTCTACTTTGATGTTTCGGCGAATGTAAACAAAGGTTACGTCCATGAGACTGATATGATATTTCAACTCTTATATTAACTCTCCTCTCCAAAGGTATACAATTTTTTTTCTGTTTAAAGTACAGTCAATCCCCTAAATAATATGCACTGTAGTAGAGCGCAGAACTAGCTAGCTGACGAACATTATCTCCATTTCCGAAGGGTAATTGTAAGGCCACCATCTTGACTAAAATAATCAGTCACAATCTTAAGTTACGCTATGTCCACAATCCGGTACCACGGAATGGATCACTTGAAGAGGGTGTTCGTCGTATTTGATTTAGGTATTACAGGACTTCAATAATGTAGTACAGGACTTCAGGCCTGAATAACATTTTTTGAAATTATTACTTAATATATACTCCGGTACTTCTCGCACTATTTTTACAGCAATGCCAAATCAAAGTAATGTTGTTCTAAATGTACAGAATGGGTATGATGTTAAAAAATTCTGTTGGTTCTTCTGCCATCTTCATGGTATTATTAACATCATCTGTTGCGGTGCCTTGGGTCTCGCCCTCCCCCATACAACAACATTCTCTTACGAAAGTAAAAACTAAATGTTTTTATCTTTAATATACTTTTTTTATTAAAAATTTCTTCATTTTCTAAACATTTTTGGTTTCTTTGTTTTTTTCGGCTTTGGACACGGGGTGGAATAGACCTTAGGTGTCTCTGTAACGGGCATAAATACACCGCTCAATGCGACTCCCTTTCCACAATTTGTGTCAAGTCCAGTTGCGTTCCCGTAAAAATTCACTAGAGGGTTACCATCAGCATCTACACCTCTAGAAAACAATATTTAACTGAATACAGTTTCAATGTGTGGAAGGTACAATTCATAACAATATCATACCAAGCATCTTACAATGGGATTTTTGTTTCATGACCGTTACCATATTATTCATCTCCAGTAACCTTCCCTTAAACGGTGGAAGATATCATTGAACTGTGGCACCCACGCAGGGTATATGAACAAAAATGGTCATACTCCAGAGTCCCCATGGCATATAAGTCTGGTTTGATTAAAATATCAAAGCTTAGCGTCAACCATAAAGTATTCTAATTCAATGGAAGTTAAAAATATCGAAATCGTCATTTCTCACCCGCCATCTTAAATGCGAAGGTGACAGCGGTAACTTTCGTTTGATACTGACCAGTGATATCCCCTCACACAATTCAGAAACCATTATATTTAAACAGTTTGACATTGCAATTTCATATTGTTTCTTGCGTGTCTTGATCTCTTTTATATATTCATAAGCATATAATGCTAATAATTTAGCTAATAATGCTAAAAGCACAGCCACTCACACTGTATTTTTGTATTGTATTCTTTGTACAAATGAATAACTTAATAATAATAAAAATAAAAATAAATTCATAAGCATAACATATTTTTACCTTCTTGCGTTATGTCCAAAAAATATGTGCATGTTTCCATTCCATCGTTCTGCCCAATTGTATCCCCATTTGGTATCGTCTGTTGCCTCCCAATTACAGTCTTCGTCTTTGATTATATTGCGCATGCTTGTCATCTCAAACACCGTGTTATCTTGTAGTCGTTTTCCTATAATTGTAAGACATTTAACACGACGGGTCTTCAAATCATTTTAATCGTTCCTGTCTTATGTTATCGCAGAGTTGTTTTTGAGAGAAAATGGATTGAAAAATGTGCAATGTGTTCTGAGATTTGAAAAAAGAAAAAAGTACTTGGAAAAGGTCCAGTGTACACTAGTATTTTCTATACTTTTATATGTAGAACAGGATATGGTTAACTCGAACCCTATAGGTAAGTCGGACTCTTGTCAACTTGGACCTTGTACAATTTGGTCCCAGTCTTTTTTTACCCTTGTTAAATCGGATTCTAGTTAACCCGGACTCTAGTCAACTCGGACCCTAGTTAACTCTGGCTCTATTCAACTCAGAACCTAGTTAACTCGGGCTCTAGTCAACCAACTCAGACCCTAGTTAACTCGGGCTCTAGTCAACCAACTCAGACCCTAGTTAACTCGGGCTCTAGTCAACCAACTCAGACCCTAGTTAACTCGGGCTCTAGTCAACCAACTCAGACCCAGTTATATTCAAAATAGAATAAAAAAAGTTTTAAAACATTGATTTTGAATCATCAGAAATGCACATCAGCGTAATTATTTAAGAATTTTATCAATTCATTAAATTAAATCTTAAGATATTCCAAAATTCTAGCTTATTATCGACCAAGTTAATCACTTTTACCGCTTGTATAGCAAATAAAAAGCTTCTGGTCTTTTTTGAATCTGTCTGGGTTGAATCTGGTTTGAATCTGTCTGTCCAAGTTGACGAGGGTCCGATTTAGCTTTGGTGTGAATTTACTCGGGTCCGATTTGACTAAGATCCTGACTGACGCTGGTAAACTTGGAGCCTAGTTAACTCGAATCCTTAAGTCTACTTGGGCACTAGTTGACTTGGATCCAAGTAATCATGGATCTTTGTTAACTTGGATCCTAGCTAACTTTGACACTAGTCTACTTGGATTCTACTTAACTCAGACCCTTGTTAACTTGACCCTAGTTTACTCAGACCCTAGTTAACTAGGACCCAGTTATACTCAAAATAGAATAAAAAAAGGTTTTTAAAACAAGGTTTTGACTTAGACATACGCATCAGCGTCATTATTTAAAGATTAAATTGATAAATTCAATTTTGAAATATTTCAAACTGTTTAATCTTTAGCATTACTTCACCTCTTATATTGCAAATAAAAAAACGTTGATCTATTTTGAATATAGCTGTGTCCGAGTTGACTAGGGTTCCTGTTAACTAGGGTCCGAGTTGACTAAGAACCTGTAAAACCTTGATCGTATACAGCAATTCTTTCATAAAGGACTACCTGGTAAAAGTCCAGCATGCACTATTGTACTGTTGTATGAAGGGACACGGATGGTATACGGCAGTTGTTTCATAAAAGCCCAGTCTTTTTCAGTCGCTCTTTTCGTCCATTCGTCAGTACGCAACAGCATTTGCTTGTCGTCATTGTTCCCTCTCACTGCGTACAGGTTAGGCGTGTCTCTAATTAGTCTTAAAAGAGAAGCGGTTATTAGTTTTATACAATTGTGTTAATGAAACCATTGAGAGTACTCCGATATTAAACACAGTTTCAATCTCCTTATTCTCGAAAGCCTACCACTAATACAGTTATTATTTTATTTTAGATTTCAAAAAGTCCGGAGCAGGTATATATGTTTTTGCGAAAATAGTCATTTGGTGTTTTATACATGAATAAGGGAAAGGCTATTTCTCCATCTGAAGTTTAGTTCAAGCCAATTGGAATCATCAATGGAAATTTCTTTCTCATGTCCCCACCCTTATTTTGTAAGAAATCTAAATTGGTGAACATCCAGATGATAATGTTGAAAATTATTGATAGCTTGTCAAATGAATGATGAAACCAAGAATGATTCTGTGCATTGTTTCTCTATTGATCCGATACTCCAAAATACATCTCATTGCGCATGCGCATTATAAAATTTACCTCACAAATTCGAGACTTTGTGGCCCTCTATGGACGAGATCTCCACATGTGATAACAATAGCATCGTCGGCGATAGTGTTGCCATCTGGGGAGAGAAGATTTGCTTGCTGCATTAGCGTCATGAAAGGACGCAGATTTCCATGGACGTCACCAGTGACGAATACTCGTTTGTTTCCAACAGTGGCTTCATCGATGATAGCATGCCAAACATCTGGATATATCTAAATAGAAATAACTCAATGGATGTAATTAAAATTGAAACTCTTCTTCCAAGGGATACGGATATCCTATGGTTATGTCATTCTTGAGAGGATACAACTATATTCAAGACTGGAGCGAACCAAAGGGTGGGTTTTACAGTTTAATGAGTAAACCAGAACAATGGCAAAGAAAAAATGAAAATCAAAATTCAGTCAAACTGTGGTAATCAACTTTGAAAAATTATTTTTTTGAAAATGGGACTTCAAGTTCGGGGAGATTCCCCATAGACCCCATGTTGTAAAATCAAAAAACGTTGAATATCTTTTCTTGTATTGGACATGTTCTTTTACTGGACATATATTAATGTACATAACTATAAGATGCATAAGGGTTATATGAAAATTGAACCATTAAAACAGTCTAACAATACAATCACCTTCTTTTCTAGATTCGACATTTTGTCATTTGAAACTGTAAAAAATGAAGTATTATTTTTAAATTACCTCTGATGCACCAATGTTAAAATACACCATTGGAAGGCTTAGAGTGTCAGCTTTAAGAATCTAACCTCAATTCGACTTTTCGCTGAATGCAAAATTAGATATTAACCCTTTCATCACCAAGGGGTAAAATTAGAAAATCAATCATGCCTTTTCAATCAAAATATATTTTGACACTCGGTTTCTATTTTCAATCTAAATGTCCATAACAATAATGTGTGTGGTCTCGGTAGCACGACAGTATATAATGATGATGTTTACACTTTATGGTTAGGATACATTTTCTCTTTGAAATTACCACACAAGTGTCCATGAAAAGGATGCCAAGTTTCTTTTTAACATCATAATTTTTCATTGGTTTTTCATATAGAAAAGAAGAAAAGTAAAGGGTAAAAGATATATTTGTGTCACTCTCATTTGTGCGATCAGGGAGGGAATGTGGTTGTATGTGTGAATATATGGTTTTGGAATGCCTACATATGTGGACTGTCTAACAAACTATTCATCGGAATCAATCCATGTTAGACATTTTGCATGCTTGATATGGAATTCTACATTAGAGTGAAATAAAAAGATGCGGTATGAGTAAATAGGTGTGACAATAGAGGTCTTAGATCAAATATTTGGCTTGATGGATTCCACTTGACCTTGATATGTCGTGCTCAATGACCCCTACCTCATCCTATCTGGGTTCAAACAATATCTTTAATATTCTCCAAAGTATAACTTGACATTGAACTAGTTATTGTAAATCTAAAAAATAATCCATTCTGGTCATATGGGTACTTGTAATTATGAAATTGATTTTCATTAATAAATGACCCTTGGGGATGAAAGGGTTAATATCTAATTTTGCATTCACTTGAAATTCAAATGGAGGTCAGATTCTTAAAGCTGGCCTTTCTAGCTTTCAAATGGTGTATTGGAACTACACACTATTTTTGAATATGAAATCTCATTTCGATCAAAAACAAAAATTCTGTAGCATAATGGGGCAACTGCATTTAATGACCTCTATCTCAGCCTATCTTGGTTCAAACTCTGTTCACCAAAGTATAATTTGACACTATTGTAAACTTAAAAATAATCCATTCCGGCCATAGCGATATTTGTATTGATTTTCATAAAATGAATAAATGACCCCTTGGGGATGAAATTGGGTAAATATTAAATTTTGTATTCACTAAAAATTCAAATGGAGGTCAGATTCTTAAAGCTGGCCCTTTCAGCTTTCTAATGGTATATTGGAACCTTAGTTCTAGTTTGCTCTACTAATATGCAACCGTCGTCATTGAATTTCCTCTAAATTTTACAGGCGAGATTGTATAGTACTTCAGTACTTACGTTTTGGCTGAACGTCAGGCTAACTACAGCTAGGAATGACAAAGCGAAGGTGGCCAACATCGTAAGAACAAACTCAAGCAGATCGATTTAACCAAGAAGTGCCGTACCCGCGACCTTGTCTTTATTAAGCATGTAAGGAGCAAATGGATTCCCTTGTTTATTTATATAAGTTTCACTCATGGCTTCTTTCTGTTTATCTCAATTAACGGCACAAGTGTTGAATGTAGGCTAGAATATATAAAACTATCCTTTAACTATCTTTGATCACGAATTAACACTCCTGGTCACGCATGTCAATGAAATGTCGGCGTTTGTGGTACTATAAGTAACACCACTACCATAAGTTTGGAATCTGGAAGTTCCTTTCTGGATCGCAAGTTGAACCCTGTTTTGTTTGAAATTGTATTGTATGCTCTTATTGCAGATCGGAAATATGTCAATTCCAAACTATTTTAATAAAGTAACACAATAAATCAAACATTGACAAGCTTAAATACACTACCAAATGAAACTTTTCAGTTATCAAAATTCTAGAGGGAAGTGTACGTGTATCCGATTAATATTTCATTCATAAACGCCTAAGACTTAACGATAAGAGATGAGTGTATATTTAGAATAATGGTGCATATCTCGTAAAGTGATATTGAAGAAATTGAACACCTTATATAAGATAAGATGAATGACATTTTGATTCCCTTATAGAAATTCTTACAATTCGATAATGATTTAAAGTAGTAGCTTTATTTGTAATTTCGGTGTCCTATATTGTAAAACCCCATGTCACTGTTGACAGTAGTCTTATGCAAATATTTTGTGAAAACAATCTTCAAAAACTGATATCTGCTTTCTATTGTCTGCCATTTTTGTCATTAAATCTTTTCTTGTTAAGTCTTGTTTATGCATTTCCAGGCAAACCATTTGAGGAATCAATTTTAATTTCAGGGATGATTCTTTATATGAAAATCTCGAACTGATCAGTTTTTGCGCATTCCATTCAGAAATTTCCATCCCTATAAAATCTTGTCTTTAAAGTTTTGTCTACATGTTCCCAGGCAAATATTCAGCGAATCAGATTCCTTTCGAGGATGTTTCTTTATATGGAATTCTCCCAAGTGATTAGTTTTTGGCCATTCTGGGTAAACGTTAAAGTGGCTGTTTTCGATTTTTCGTTGTAAAATCTTGTCTTTGCGTTTCCAGGCAAACCATTTGACCAATCAATTTAGAATTTTCAGGGATGATTCTTTTTATTAAAATCTCGAACTGATTAGTTGTTTGGTATTCTGAGTAGATGTAAAGGTGACTATTGTGGAGTTGAAAATTGAACTTTCATCGACATCAAGGTACAACGTGCTATTTGAAACTACATCAGTCATACAGGGTGGTCCAAAAAAGTGGGACACTCGTATTTCAAAAATAAATATTGATTTTCTTATGAAAATATGTCATATTATATACCAATTGATAGGGTATCTTTAATTTGGTATATCATAAGTTCAAATTATAATTCTGTCAACCAGCGTCTATAATATAAATGACGTAATTTTAGTTTCAAAACGAGTTTTCCAAATCAAAAACACATTTTATTGTCAACTTCATTTACAAGAGCAGACGTTCAATATGTCCACCATTTGATAAATTACAGCCTAAACTGGTCAATAGCATGATTGATATGCTGTTGAGACAATGAATTTCACTTCTCTATAATTCTTTCCTAAGGGGACTGAGTAGATGTAAAGGATTCCTGGTACAACAACCCTGTTAGTTCTCCCCATTTGTGGTAGTTGCAGATGTTGGGTGACCGGGTGATCTGGGGGGGGGGTGTAGTTATTTAGGGGGATATATCTTGACACATATTCCTTTAAACAATTGAAACTATTGTGGGATCTATGGATTGGAGCCCTATCTTGTTGGAAATTGTAATCATTCTAAAATTAACTCATATCAGGATGGTCCAAAAACAACATAATTGGATCATCCGATGTCAATGTCTGCGACTATTACATATTGGGAGAACTAACAGAATTGGTGTACCATGATCCCCTTACATCTACTCAGTTCCTTATTAAAGATAGAATCTTTGAGAAGTGGAATTCATTGTCTAGAAAGCATATACATTATGCTATTGACCAGTTTAGGCCAAAATTGAGGGCTATAATTGATCAAAATGGTAGACATATTAAACATTTGTTTATATAAATAAAGTTGACAAAAAAAACTTGGCTTTTGCAAGTTTTGGAATCCCCATTTTGAAACGAAAATGACATCATTTATATTATGGACGCTGGTTGACAGACATTATAATAAATTTGAATTTATGATATTCGAAATTAAAGATAAATAAATTCCCTATCCACTGGTCTATAATATGGCATGTTTCTAATAAGAAAATCAATATTTATTTTTGAAATACGAGTGTCCCATTTTTTGGACCACTCTGTATATAACTGGGGACGGTAAATTGACCTTGAAGGAACCCTCAGCACAACTCGCATTATTCTTTTAAACACGGCCAAATCGCAGCTCTGTTGTTCGTAATGTTCCTATAGAATGGGCCATTGTTTCTGAACTGCAACCGCAAGATGGCCAAATACACAACCCTATTAGTCAGTTCTGAGGTGTAAAGGTTAGCACACTGGACCCCCGAGGCCAAGGTCCTTGAGAATGGATTACTAGAGTGATACAAACTTAGGATATCAAGTAACATTATTACCACCTTGCCGGGCCAGTTCTAGGGGTTTTAGTGCTCGTTTAGAAGGCATTCGTTTTACTATATCGACCTGAGAAGTGTGTGACGTCATAGTGGTGGTCCATATGGACCGGTCTAGAATATATTCTGGACCGGCAATTTTCCCCGGGAAATTAGAAATCGTTCAGTGCGTAAGATTTTCTTGCTATTTCAGTCCTGGTCGTTAATAGTACTAATAACGTCATTTCTACGAGCAATATAGTGAAATATTGGACGGAGGGCCAATATTTCACTATATTGCCCTTAGAAATGACGTTATTGTACTATTATCCTACCACACGTATATGCCCTATGGTGTCTGTGAGATATGTAACTCAAATGAAAATGAAATCACAGCTCTACTTGTCATGGAATTTGATTGGTTCCTTGGGGCATCTTTTGCCCACTTTGTAATATTATCGTCGGTGCATTAGTTCTAGGTGCCATTCTCTGAATTCCAAAATTAAACTAAACATATTTCTCTAAAAATATTAGTTTTTAAAAAATCTATGTATATATATCTACATGTATAACTTCTGAAACATTGGGTCTATTTCACAACACTGGTATTTCACACGGGGTTGAGTAAACCGTTGGTGTTTCTGTTGCAGGCATAAAGACACCGCTCAATGCGACCCCTCGTCCACAGTTCGTGTCAAGTCCCGTTGTGTTCTCGTAAAATCTCACTCGAGGGTTTCCATCTGAATCTACACCCCTAGAAAACGATAAATAAACTGAATGTAGTTTCAATATGGGTGGAGGGCACATAAAGTATAATACACAAAAACACACTTTTACTTCCCATTATATATTCCCGTGATATAAAATATCTAAGAGTACAAGGAAATCAAAGTATAAGAAAAACAGACCGCAGGTAGACAGAATATGATCTAACATGTAGAGAAATATTAGAAAGTTAAAGCTGGCGATATTTTTCACAACGTAACCGTGCACGCAAAGCCAATGAATCAATACAGTATTAACGTATATAGCGCCCATACAAAACAAGCGCTATTTATGGGAGATTTGCCAACGGGAATCATTATACTCATGTCTATTGAATACAATGCTGGCAGTTTTGATTCCGATGAACACAATAATGCTTTCCGAAGACAATGATGTATGTCATACATGTTTAGCTTTAAATATCTTACTAAACGAGCTTGTTTAAAATGTGTATCATAGAAAACTAGTTATATAACTATCAATGGCATATTACACGAAGATGTGTCGTCTATACAACGGACTATCTAAGTACACACTGTAACTGAACGATTATTTATGTGAGACAACTACATGTATTTTTAAAGGGCAACTTTTGCGTATAGGTTGACGTTTCTATTTTATATGCATTGCTCAAAGTCTCAAATATCAAATATTTATAACAACTTAACATTGCCAATACATATCCCCCTTCTTTTTCTTGCTTTACTTTAAATATACACGAGTGATAACATAATTTTACCTTCTTGCGACATGTCCGAAGAATATGTGCATATTACCATCCCATCGTCTTGCCCAATTATATCCGATTGTGGTATCCTCTATAGCCTCCCAATTACCGTCTACGTTTTCGAGTATATTACGCATGCGCGTCATCTCAAACACTGTATTTTCTTGTAGTTCTTTTCCTGCAATTATAAAACCATAGGTCCGGTGAGTCTGAGCTCCAGGTAGATAATTATCTTTTGGGACTCAGACTTGAATTTTATTCATGTTTCCGGACCATTGTGGAAAATATTAAAGACGGATCTTCCAAATATTTTAATCGCTCCAGTTTCAATTTTCCCCACAGAGTTGGTTTTGAGTGAAAATGAATTGAGTAAAATGCGTAAATATCCTAATATTTGAGGAAAGATGTACGTTTACACCATTTTGACAGACAAGCAGACGTACAGATGGATGAGATTTTCTACACTTCACCCTCAATCCCTCGTGATAAATCGAGCTTGTATTTGCGAATGCAACTAACGGCTGTCGGCTACCGGATTAACCCACTATTTTATGGGCAACTCATTTAAATATGAATGGAATAGTGGCAGGTATTATTCATATTTAAATTAGTTGGCTATGGTCATAAAATAGTAAGTTAATCCGGTAGCCGACAGGCGTTAGTTGCATTTGCGAATACAAGGTGAAAGGGGAAATATTTATCATAATTTAAAGGGGCAACAAGGACTGTAGAGAGAAAATTCGAATCTTTTTTATTTTTTCTGAGCTATCAGGTCAATATTTGGCTTTACACCTTCTTTGACACACCTATTTTCTTAAAATGTATGGATAAACTATCAATTTCAGCATTAAGAAGTGTAAATTCAGTTCAAAGCTACTTGTAGATTTTTAAGATTCACCACGTTTTAAGAGGAATATCAGCTGAAATAATGTTCATCCAGGGGGTTTCTTTTTAGATAATAAAAATATATGGTAGTCTTGATGAAATATCCAAAATTAAATATATTTTGACACTGGTCGATGATCGTTGAATTGCCCCTTGCACTAATTGTTGCACCTTTAAATGAAATGTCAGGTAATAAGTCTAAACTTGTAATTTATAATTCAAAAAAAGGCTTTCTCTATCAATTTGATATATTTTAACCTTCACTGGAATGCAATTTTGTGATTTTTTATGATGTGGTCATAATCACTGAGTTGGTGTATATTTCACCTTATTTTTAACTTTATTTGAGTTTCAATATTCTTTAAATGGTCAGAATCGCTTGCAAGTGGCAGATATTGAGCTTGACGCACACATTTCCTACCTTTTTGGGCCAAAACTCCACTCATAGACATGACCTCATATCTATTTATGGATCGCCAAGAAAAGTTTAAAAAAATAAATAAGATAAATGGTGCTGATTGTGTCTTGTGTGTATGAATAAAGAGGGGTACCTGGTAAAAGTCCAGCATGTACTACTTTACTATTGTGTGTGGGAACTCTGATCGTGTGCACTTGTTTCATAAAGGAGTACCTGGTAAAAGTCCAGCATGTACCACTATACTATTGTGTGTATGAGCTCTGATCGTATGCAATTGTTTCATAAAGGAGTACCTGGTAAAAGTCCAGCATGTACTACTTTGCTATTGTGTGTTGGAACTCTGATCGTGTGCAATCGTTTCATAAAGAGAGGTACCTGGTAAAAGTCCAGCATGTACTACTTTACTATTGTGTGTGGGAACTCTGATCGTGTGCAATTGTTTCATAAAGGAGTACCTGGTAAAAGTCCAGCATGTACTACTTTACTATTGTGTGTATGAGCTCTGATCGTATGCAATTGTTTCATAAAGGAGTACCTGGTAAAAGTCCAGCATGTACCACTATACTATTGTGTGTATGAGCTCTGATCGTATGCAATTGTTTCATAAAGGAGTACCTGGTAAAAGTCCAGCATGTACTACTATACTATTGTGTGTGGGGACTCTAATGGTATAAGGCAGTTGTTTCATGAAGGCCCAGTCTTCCTCAGTCGCTCTATCAGTCCATTCGTCAGTGGGAAATTCCATTTGGTTGTCGTCATTGTTCCCCCTAACTGCGTACAAGTTAGGTGTGTCTTTGACTAGTCTAAAATGAAAAGCGATTACTTGGTGATATATGGGTGATTTGGGAATGGGAATCTAAGTGTAGTGCAATGACCCTTGTGTTTGATACATGAATTAGGGGTAGGCTGTTTATCGATCTGAAAACTTTACGAGCTAACTGTGAAAATGTGTTCAAAATGACAGCGGGGTGATTTGAAGGGACTACTTATAGCAGACTATTTTGAATTTGCTTTCGGACGCAGGTACATGTGTTAAATGGGTTTTTGTTTTCAAGGTCATTCATCTCAAAATCTTGGTTGACATCGCATGGAGATATGGTGGCAGCAAACTAGTTAGACTCGCCAATGGAAATTTCTTCTCTGGTCTCCACACTTATTTCTGTTATAAACAATTGTTGAAATAATATCTCTGTATTTCTGTCAATCTGATTTTATAGGAACATATCTCATTGCGTCATAAATTTACCTCACAAATTCGAGACTCTGTGGCCCTCTATGGACGAGATCTCCACAAACGATAACGATAGCATCATCAGCGATAGTGCTGCCATCTGGGGAGAGAAGATTTGCTTCCCTCATTAGCGTCATAAAAGGACCTAAATTCCCGTGGACGTCACCAGTGACGAATACTCGTTTGTTCCCAACAGTTGATTCGTCGATAACAGCATGCCACACATCTGGATAGATCTACATTCAATAAACAGAAATAACCAATCATAACAACCATGTATTATTAGAGATAAAGATACCGCGATCGAAACTCTATCAACATTGCAACTTTTCTTCGATGGGATCGGGTGTATAAGTCCACGTACTTAAGAAATATCCATTTCTTTCATCCCACGAGTGTATATAGAGATTATCCTATATGAGGTCCAGGATATTGGGATTATCCCGAGGCCAATATAATATATCTGCCCGAAGGTTGTAGGTCCCGAGGGTAGATATATTATATTGACCGAGTTGGAACAAAATGGCATACACAACTTTCACTTAGATCTCTCACTATCATAGTTATACAAAGGAAAGATTGGTTCATTTAATAAAATATCGAAAAATAAAATGAAATAAGAAGCGCCAAATAAATTAAAATTCAAGGAACAATATACACATTTTAAATGAACCAAACTTTCCTTTGTATCCGGTGTATTTTCTTAAACTATAGAAAAGTAGATATATCTTTTCAAATTTAAGTTTTTCAACCCAAATTCACCGGCATAATTCTTATGCGTTACAACGCCTTTGGTGACAGATGGGCAGATTATATGGAACCGTCTTGCCCCAGGCCCTCTACTTATTTAACCGAGGAGACTCTACTTACGTCTTGGCTGAACGTCACACAAACTAGGGATAACAGAGCAAAAGTGATCATCATCGTGGAAACAGGATCGTCCCTTTAAATCGTTCGATTTAACCAAAAAGTGCCGTACCCGCGACTCTGTATTAATTAAGGTGCTACGGGAACACCCTTTTCATTTATATCAATTTCACTTGTGATTTCTTTATGTTTATCTCAATTTTGCACGAGTGTTTAAAAGTAGAATATATAAAAATAGGTTTTAATCAACTTTAACCATGGGACACTCCTGATCATACATGCAAATCGAAGGTCGGCGTCCCTGACATTGTAAGCAAATATAATACACACGCTCCATATGTTATATTTATCTGAGAGTTACCTTTTACCTTTTGGATTGTATGTCAAAGGCTGTTTGTGTTTTGCAATTCAAAGAAGTCATCAAATCTGTCATAGATTTCCGAATTACTGCATTAAAGGGACACTATAAAAATTTAAATATTAGAGAACTTTCGCAAAACGGGTTATAGCTAAAACGTATACGTAAACGCATCTCGTTTTAACTCCAATTTCTTGCAATTTGCTAAAAACTAACTTTAGAACTGAACTTGTGCACTTTCAAAGATAGCAGGTATTGCGAAACCCAATTGAAATCAATGGAACGCGTAATTGAATAATCAACAATTTCAATGTGATCAGTGATATCAGTTAACAATCAGTGATTTAGTAAGAAAATAGAAAAATGCTTGACTTGGTATTATTCCAATATAATATATATGAGTCCATGATTACGACGCTAATGATTTAGGGTCCGCTAGTTCTTTTAGCAACCACATAGCAAATCGAATTAGGATAATTGAAAAATTGGGGGTAGATGAGAATACAAAATGTATATCTTAAACTTGTAGAAGGTTACCATTTTAATTCTAATACCACATTTTGCACAAACATTCAGCAACATGCAATAAAATAAAAATGTTCATCAAGTAGTTTTTGGAAAAACAGTGAAGAAAACGCTATTTGGGAATACTGTATTTTTTGATTAAGTGTATTTTACCTTTATTTTGAAATAGTCAACAGTGGCTTGATTTTCATTAAATAAATCATGTTGCAAAGATAATCCAATGTGCTAGATGATTATTTATCAAACAGAGCAATTATGATCACTTTGCATTTCCTACAGTTATAAAAATTAAGTTACTATCAATATTTTGTGAACTTTATTTTTACTGGCATCAACTTTCGACTATCATAACTTTGCCCCTGCTATCCACATTCACGTAAAAAAAATAACGGAGGCACAAACAACGTGCAAAAAGAACTATCGAACAATCGAGGGGGTCATTTTGTCTTCCCTCTACTGACATCGGGGTGAACACGCTATCAAATGAAGACTTTCTGTTACCAAACTTATTGAGGGAAGTGTACGTGGAGTATTGCGTTAATATCTGGTGTCCCCAAAAATGAATCGATTTTTATACATACAAGTATTTTTTTCATACCAGCAATTGTTTACTTGAGAGCTTTAAAGAGATTTAGTGATAACAGATCATAATTACGTCTCTTGCTTTACAGCCTTCGTTTGTGCGAATTTTCACCGGTTAGTTTCCAAAATACTACATTTCGATGTGATGTTTTAATCGATGTAGGCATATATCCCATACACCTTTCTAATAGCGTCATAACTGCTTCATTATTCGTTTGGAATAAATTCCCTTATACGAATATTAATGTAACATTGACAAATAAACAAATAGATACTAAATTCGGGTGCATTTTATGTTTGTAAGGACTAGAAATATTTGTAACTAACAATTTATCATTCGCCAACTACAGCTTACAATTAGTAAATTTCCCAAAAGTTGCCTGTTATTTTATTGAAGAGGTGTATTTTTACCAATAATAATCTTGCATATTACCCATGAATTAATGCAGAAAGCAAAGGAATATTCGTACATTAGCGAATGATAAAATGAAACTTTACGGATATAAATGTGAGTTTACGGATATAAATGTGAGTTTACGAATACAAATGTGAATTAACGAATATAAACTGCACGTCTCGAGGCATAGGTCACGTGACATGAGAGTTTTAGGTGTGTGGGGGGGAGGGGCGATGACTTTGACCATGGGTTGACCATGTCTTGTCGAGAATGATCACGTGATCTTAATATTCAATGAAAAAAGAATATAAGAGTGCAATTTACGAATACAAATGACAATACTTACGAACAATAAATGTGCACTTTTACGAAAACATATTACCTTGTTACGAAAATAAATTCGACTATTAAAAAATAAAAATGCCAAGGCTAGTACTCATTTATTGATAAATTCGACATTCAGTTCGTAGATATCAAATTAATATATTTGCAGAAACAATGATAACGTTACAAAATGAACTCATAAGGACTTCTGAATGTATTTCAGTATAAAACACATACATGTACGTTTTAAAGAAACAAATTAGAGTAACGAACAGAAAAGGCAAACTATGAATGAAAATACTCAAGTTACGAACATAAATGTGCATTTAACAAGTACAGAAGTTCAATTTACGAATACATATAGTAAACTACGAATAATGAAGCAGAAAACATTCTTTACCTTTCTTTATCTTTATTTGAAATAAGAAGCTATGATATTGGTTAACACCCCAGAAATGAAAATGAACATATGAACGAATTTTGAAGCCGCCATCATTTGTTAGTCGATTTTTCACTGATCAGAGATGTATGTCATCTCAATACATACAGGTTTACATTATAAGCGTGGCCATAGAATGTAAATAAGACACTCTTTGTTGTTTTGTTTTGTCCTTTTAATTGCCCGGTCGGGTTATTTTTATTGATGTAAAGATAATAAACTCACTTTCATTGACCTTTACACGCAGTCCTAGTGTCTCCCTCGCATGATATTTATTCTTTTTTATAGTGAAATAAAAATTTCTCCGATTTCCACAATTTTCCTGTCGACTAAGCTGCCATCTATACGTAAGCTTATTGAGAACAGACAAAAACGAGGCGACTTCTATTTTAAATGAAAACGTTCAATATCTCATTAACAGGACAATCCGTTACCATTTCAATTCATGATATATTAAACATGTCGGTTTTTAGAATATTACTTAATTTATTTAACCCTAGGTAGAAATTTTACAATAGTTCACGGTGTTCCAGATTGAATTACTTCTAGCCAAGAATTGGCTACAGACTCAGTAAGAAAATGAACCCTAAAGGAGTTAAGGACAAAAGGAATACTTACATATAGGAATACTTACATATATATACGATCGACCTCTTTCATATTATCGCACTTGCTCACGATGCCCTACCTTAAAATATTATCAGCGAATTCAGCTTATGTATAGATGACACAATACTTGTCAAAAAAGTAATTCACCTTTTTGGACACCCGATATATAAAAAAGTAGTAGAGTCAGCATGCACGTGTAGATTAGTTTTACTCAAAATACGTTCCCACCATGGTATATCTACTAAATATTTTATTTATCAGCACCTTGGCAATTCGTAACGATATGAGTAACAAGAGGCCTAAAATAACTTTACGATAAAATGTATACGTTTAACTCATGTTAAAATGGCCATGACATCGACATGAATATCAATCATAATCAAACAAAAGATTGCGGTTTCTTACGACACCTTTTTTACTCCAATCTTGAAAATTTCTCAAAAAACTGAACGACGAGATTCTTAATCAATTTTTGCATGGTAGAATGTAAAGTTGATTTTGAGATAATATAAACCATCTCTCGATTTGTGTGTTGACTAATATGATGATACTGTGACGGAAATAGGTTCAATACGCACAGGAAGTAACGAGTACTAAAATAGAACTCATGGCATTTTAGCGCTAACTGAGTACTCATTTCAGTAAATATTAGTACAAAATGAGCACTGATGACATGAGTTCTGATTTATTGCATTTTTAGTACTAAATGAGTACTCATATGATAAGTGATATAATAGCGCTCATTCCATTGATTTTTCATTACTCAATGAGCACTCATGCATATGCCGAATACTCAGTTCAAAATTAGATTGAACTAAAATAGCACTCCTGACAATCAGTACTAATTATCCCAACTAACGAAGTTCGGTAGGGATATAGTGAAGCCCTCCGTCCGTCCGTCAGTCCGTCCGTCAGTCAGTCAGTCCGTTCGTCCGTCCGAAAGATAACTCAAATATTAGCTGACGGATTTTCTTCATATTTAGTGGAAAGATGTACATTGATAAATAGTTTTAAAAATGACGGGACTTTTTCGCGAAAATCATACATTTTTCATTCTAAACCAAAGTAATTAATATTATTGTTTGAAATTTTGGTAGTATATTCACAACATATATTCCGTGTTTTTCATCCTGACCCCCAGGGACCGTGTATGGGGGGTCAGAAAAACAGAAATTTTCGCTAATTTTTAGATCTGTCTGAAGTATTTTTCGATCCCTTCAAAGTATGGCTATATAAACTCAAATTGAAGGACGTGTTGCAAAAAGGTGGCGCATTTGTTTTTAAGGGTATCGCGTGAATGTAACTTTTATTCCCCGGAATATAAGATAATATTCTAATTAAAGTTATATATCATTTTAAAGCTGTTTCGATGAAGATTTTAGATCAACTACACTCCGTTCACATTTTTTGCACGTTCGTTTTTAAAAACATCTGGAAAATATCCCATGTTGACACGTTACATTTTGCATTATTTTTCGTCTTTAAACGCTCATAACTCAAACAATTTATGACTATTATACTTATTTTTCGTCTTGATAAAGGTAGATGGAAGTTTTATTTCAAATGATGAATTTTAGTAAGCGTCCCATATTGTGACGTCATAGAGTCTGAAAAATAGAATCAGTTGACAGCGACCTTTTTTGCTCATTTTTTGGTACCTTCAACTTTTCAGGTGTACATTAAACAAAAAATACGAGATCAATCTTTAATAAATCATACATGATTATTTTGCTCCTAAACTCTAGTTTATTAATAATTAGTTGATTTTGTTCACAAAAGTATGTGTTTTCTGTTGTATGTGGAAAAGTGGAGGACGAAAGGTTTTCAAAATTCATTAAAATAGGGCTAATTTACGCCATTCGCCTATTTTCAAGCACAGCAACACGTATATTTATTTCACCTAAAATATCAATTGATTCGTGTTTCATGATGCTCCTAGCCCATTAACAATATATATATGATATCAGAGTTATTCGTCTAAAATGTTTTGAGATATAGAGGTAAATGTGGAGGACGAAAGGATTTTCATATGTGTACATTTTTCTCAAAAACGTCACATTCATCATGTTAAAAGCGAGGATCCTCTGGATTACGCCACAAAATGTGTAACAATGCGTGCGCGAGCTTTTTGCGACCCGTCAAGGAATCTTGGAGTAGATCACAATAATGGTATTATTTTACAGATTTGTACCTCAGAAAATTCAAAATGGCTGCTTTGCAGGAATTCGCAATTCTTAAATCTAAATTTTTCAATTTTAACCAAAGTAATGAGTATAATTGATTGGAATTCGGTAATTGATGTTTTGTTCATTGGGATTTGCTACTCCGTGGAGTTGCCGTTATCTAATTTTGTACTAATTGAGTAATCGTCACATCTCCATGTGTGCTATAGTATTTGCTAGTAAACAACTACTTTCAAGATTCATAATATTTTAATTCCCTTTAATCCGACAATATTCGAAATACCTTTAAATCCTCAATGGTGTAATTCATCTAGTATGCCCATTAAACCAATGAGATATGTATGATATGATAGGGATTACGCATCCTCCTAAGCAGGTGTCCAGAATCCGTACCTCCTTCATCCCCCTGCTATAACCAATTTGGAAGTGCCCGATTTAACTGAATCACGTGATCTAATTATGCGCAATGACTAATACATGATTTCTGTCGCAGTGTTGCGACAGCCAATCAGATTGCGAGTTCTTAATCGGGGAAATGCTAATTGCTTATCGCAGGGGGTAAAAAGAAAGAATATATTCTTGATTTTAAATCCATGTGATCGGAGTATGGGGATTACGCAGAGGAAGAGATCTCAAATCTGAGCGATGTCACCGTCACATCGGATGGCCATCTAAGAATGTTCGCTGTTGTTTTCTGAATATCCCAAATATAAAGTGCAACTGAAATTTTATAAGTGTAGTATAGAGTTAAGGTGTCACTACGGTAAATCATTGAAAAATAATCACAAAAATTCAAGTTCTGGGGTACATATCGCCATTTTCGAACAAATTAGCCCTTACAATGAATATATTTCTGCGTTCCTCTATACATAACCTTCATCTTAACCCTATATTTAACATAGGGTTTGCGTCTCGAATTTAAATATCACTACGCCATCATAGGGACTCATTTTTAGGTAAAATCCCTGCTTCACCGATGAAAATTAACGAATAAAGTAGTTCCAGTTTACGGGACTATATTCTTGCGATTTTTTTCTAAAAATGGCACATATAGAAAGTACTTGGCCTCAGCTTTACATTCATACCTCAAATGGCCACAATGCATATACTGAAACCTACTATACACACCATTGAAGTTGGCATGGCTTCGTTTTTAAAGTATTAAAAAACACTACCCTACCCGGAAGTGGTATTTACCGTAGTAACACCTTAATGTTCTGAGACAACTGTCATTTACGGCACAATTTCAAATAGCTTTACGCATGCGCGATTCAGGGCAAACACGCGCTCGTGATTGTTCACGTGATCATATCCTGCAAATTGATTGGCCCAGCGTATCAACTGGTGTGCATAATGCTGATTAATCATAACTAAGTGGCACAAAATGGCGAGTAATTATGGGAGCTACTCAGTTCTGGGAATTGCACAAGGAAATCATTTCTTTCTAAGTAACATGATAGTACTCCTACATATGACTACTAGTTGAGCACTTTAAGACAATCAACATTTTTAATCACCCAATGAGGTCACATGTGCATGTCGAAGGTCGAATTGTTTTATAACATTCCATTGCATATGTGGGCACTTTCGTTGAACTCAATGGATACATATGTTATACGATTTTTTCATTGAATTAAATATCGATACTCAATAAGTGTCGCTTTTGTGAAGAAGTTTCACGTTTCACTTATAAAACTTTGAAATATCAATTAAATATCAACAGATTTTAGCAGAGGCGATTTGTCTTTATACATCGAACACTTCGCTTTATACCACCCTATAAAATATTTTTTATGAATTAAGACCAAATCAAATTAAACCATGATATTAAATAAGGTATAGATAAAACAATTATCATTGAGGATTAACTACTGAAATTCCTTTTCAATCTTTATTCAACAATTCGTTCAGTGTATTTAAAATGGATTTACGTCATATTTAAGAAGGATTTACGTCATTACCTGACATTATAACAGGCTATATAATAGGCTATATAATACGAAAAGCAATCCACAAAATAAACTTATGATCCAATCACTTCTATGCTGTTTTGTAGTATTTTATTGCAATCTAAGCAAATTTAAATCAACCATAGAAATATTGAAGTGAAAACAATGACGGAAATCTAAATTGAGAATTTTGTGATCACGATGTCATGGAAGGCAAATTATTGCTCCAAATGTGTGATATTACGTAGTCGTGAAAAAAGCTAATCCGCTGTTAATTGGCTGATTATATTGAGGGATGTGTCAGAACTGACCAATCACCGCGTGGTTCTTTAGAGGATCGGAAAATAATCCAAGGAGTCAATCCTCCTTGCTAAAATAGACCCCTTAGAATTCTGTTAATTTTAAACCCTGACCGAGATGATACTTAATACGACTGAGCAAATATTTAAACGGTTTATGATTCACCTTGCATCCGGTATCCTTCGGAATTCTGTTCAAATGTGTGATGGTAAGTGTTGCAAACATAACTTTTTTATGTAAATCAATGGCTGCACATGTTTAATATTTTTACATTGAATTAAAACATCGATACCCAATACGTGTCGCTATTGTGAAAGAAATAATAGTTCCACGTATAAAATTTTGGAAGATCGATTTATTATTGACGATTTTTGGTTCTAAGTTTTGTTGTATTCCAAAAATGCATTTGATTTAACCCGACGTCACCCAGACGCGAGTAGCTAGTTACTAGTTTCACCACCAGATGGCTGATTCTGGTTTATGAACATGGCGCGTATAAAGTTCCCTTAAACTTGAATATTATCATAAATTTTCATATGATCCTTATGCGTCTGCTAATTATACAAACGAAAATATATCCAGTGAAAGAAAATAGTATCATGCCAAACACAACAAAATATATTTCACTTTGTGATACTTTTTAAACCACATTTCTAGATGCAAATTTACATGTAGACTTTTAAAAATGTAAAATCACTTTAACTACATTTTGAATACTTAATGATGGGAAAAGAGATTATTTCTACTCGGATCTAGTATAGTTACTGTTGTATGAAGGTATTTAAAGTCAAATGATACTTAATGATCTATACATGTATAAGCAGTCTAAATAGTGCCTGTGTCGAATATAAGGAAATAAAAAAGGAATTGGATTTTGTTATCCTTAGATGGTCTTTTGAGAAAACTTACAAGTTAAATTTTATTCAGATGTTTCGAAATCCATCGTTTTGTTTTATATCGATAATCTTCTTTTGATATATTTTTGAACATCTGTACGTATATGCCAAAACTCAAACCAACATATGTTTTTGTAAAAGAGGACGTATATCCCATGATGCCTCTGTACTCGATAATTGATTCCAAACGGTGATTGGATGAGTGTGATAGGAGTAGGTGGAACTTCAATCTTTCATTAAAATACGCCATTTCATCATATGTACAATTGCCCTTCAAATGCTGTTGTTTAATAAAAATCATGTCTCAATAAGATATTGAGGATCTTACTCAATGGCCTCCTACATGTATCTCAAATGAGAAAATGCTAAACCTTTGATAGAAAGTGTCATCTGGAAATCAATTTTCTAATTTAAAAGACTGACACTTTTTCTCAGTGTATTAATAATTACAACCTTGGTGAGTGCATGACAATTATAGTGTAAGAGGTTCAGGGTCATTCAGGGAGTATTCTGAGACCTCAAAAGTCTACCCGAGGGCTTTATATCATTTGACCTTTGTAAATGTTTTTGATCCTTTCAAGAATAGTTTTCTGGGGATCTTCAGAAATCTGAAATAATTCAGATTGGTATTGTAAAACAGACAATTGTAAAGATAGCAAATTTTCGGCACATTTTCGGTTTCCCGCAAAACTTTATTTGAATCAAGAAAAGTGTAGAATTGAATTTTAGAATTCTCCCACTGTAATATATTATAGTTGCCCTCTCTTCCGGGACGTAAAGCTTTATCTTGTCGCTGCTGAAAATACAACATTTCACAAACCTGATCTATATAACTCATAAATGTGTGCATCAAATTGTTAATACTCGTATATCAAGAAATAAGATTAAAACGTTCTATCCTATTATTCAAATCAAAAAACAAAATTATTTAGTTTTGCAATATTTCGATTTATAATGTATATCTTTTTCAAGCAACCCAAAAAAATACATTATAAATCGAAATATTGCAAAACTAATAAAATATTTTGTTATTAAAACATAAAAACGCTAAAAATTATCATTAGAAATATAAAAAAGCGCAAAGTGCGTCCAATCAAAAAAATACACATGAGATTATAATTAAAAATGTATCCTGGTACAGTATACTTCCACAAAAAATGCTTAATATTTCAATTCAGAACGCATTGATGCTATTTTAATTAGAGAATAACCATTCACCACTTTACACAATCAAAAGAATAAAGTCACACAGCATTATGTAACCAAATCAAAAACTAAAAGTACATCATTTCGAATTAAAGAATGTTTGGCATTTTGAAGTAGATTGATCTTCTTTATGAGGAATCAATAGTCTAACTATCGGAATGCTTTTCAAATATCTTAATTAGAGGATGTTAAAAAGCTATTATAATAGCGAGTCGATTTTACCAGATGTCCGAGTAAACGGTGACTACTTATTTCCTTGCCGCTTGCGCAAGCTACCATTCCAGCGTTTGAAGCAGTTGTGGGTTAACTAAAAGTAAGTACTTTTGTTTTCTAAATTGTATAAAAAAGTATACTTTAATTTCAAGAAAACGTTGTTTATTGAGAGTTTTAAAATTTAAATTAAATTTTAATATAGTTTTTATGAATTATAACGTTTTTAAATGACCATTTTCCAAATATATCGACTATCTCAACTTTGTAAAATTTAATCAACGTCTATCTTGTTTCTATAGTAACGGTATGAAGGAATATTGACTTCTCGAAATTGTAACTATATTTTCGATGAGTTTAGACCCCTGGTGAACTACATAAATTTAGTCATCTATATTGGCATTTTCAGATAAGACGGGCGCAATTATTACGCCCTATTAAAGTTTTGACCACAGCTTTGCGTAAAAAAGTTTGCGCAAGATGCGCATTTGGCAGATTCTCGTGTTGTTGCTCCTGGTAACAACTCTGGTGGAAGCCAGAGGAAGAAAGAAAGGTAGCGTTTCATTTCACCTTTCAAATAACTATAGCTCTTTGTTTTATTGTAACGTTCACTTAGTCCAAATGTGACTTGTAGTTGTTAGATGAAATATGTGATACACAACCAGTAAAATAGTGAAAAAAAGTTTTACAAAACTTTGTTTGCAATATAGTTCGAATTCAATTCGATAGTAGGATATTCACGATTATCCGTTAACATTTTATCATTACTATTGTAACTTCATGAAATTATCAAGCGAACAAATCATTACCGAAATTTCAAATACCGACTTGAAATGAAATTCAGAGAGATATTTTATTTGTATAATTCTTTGGTGTTCATTTAAAAAAAATAGTATAGTATTATTCATAAAATAGTTTCTCACCATATATGGTTTCAAATGTACAGGGTGGTCCAAAAAATGGTACACCAATATTTCAAAAATAAATATTGATTTTCTTGATAAAAACATGTCATATTATATACCAATGGATAGAGAATTTACTCAAATTTATTATAATGTCTGTCAACCAGCGTCCATAATATAACGGGTTTTCCAAAACTTGCAAAAACAAGTTTTATTGCGTTGGCAATAAGGCGAGAGCGAGGCTGACAAGATGGCGGCTCCAATTTTATCTGGATAAAAAATGCCATTTTTATGCCGTTTATAGCCGTAATGGATATACGAACAGAAACTATTCCCGTGGTAAATATCTATGAGTATTAAAGGGATTTATATGGAACTGTTTGAAGGACTCTCGAACACTCTATGAGGTAGTATTACTACGATAAACGATTACTTTGACCGTTGGATTCAAATAACACGCATGACTAATAGTCAGGCATACAGTGTGTACCACGTAGGCATAATCCTGTACCTTTGGGGTATAAGTATAGCATAAAAACGTATGAAGGATGCCCCGAACACGTAAAAATAGTCGAAAGGACAAATATACCGCCAATGCTTCGACCTCTGTTAGAATGCAAGCGAGTAATGAACTTAACAGTGACGACAATGACGGGGTTGATGAAAATGAGCCGAACCAATCCAAAGATAGCATAAGTGATGGAAAATGTGATGCGTTGATTGAACAGTTTCAAAAGCTGAATGAGGAAATGATGAGAACGATTCGATTGGAGATGAAAACGAACTCTGATGATATAAAGCTTGCTTTCAAATCCGAACTGCAGGATCTCAAAAAGGACATATCATATGCACAAACGTTAGGGGAAGGCAATAAGAAAACGCTGGAAAACCATGAAACGAGACTTCAAACTATTGAAAGGGAGGCTGCCTTGACTAAAGGTAATGTTGCAAAACTCTCCAATCAGTATACAAGTATGTATGACAATTTACAAGCTAAGATCCTAGATATGAACGTATATGGTCGACGCAGCTCACTCCACTTCAGTAACATCCCTGAGGTAGAGGGCGAAGATCCAAAGAAGGTAATGAGATCTTTTTTCGAGAGGAGACTAAAAATGCCTAAAGACCAGGTTGATGCTATTCGATTTGAGAGGGTACACAGGATTCCCCTGGGGCCCAAGTCCAAATACAGATATACACGTGTAATGACTGTTAAATTTAATTGGTACGAGGATAGGGAAACTGTGTGGAATAGACGTTTTGAGCTCAAGGGTACTGACCATTACATAACCGAAAGCTTCCCAAAGGAGGTATCTGACAACAGGAGAATGCTATTTCCTTACTTTAAAAAGGCAAAGGAGCTGAAACTGAAGTGCTCACTCGTTGCTGACACACTCATCATACAAGATGTAAGGTACAAAGTTGGTGACATCCCAAGGTTACCGAATGAGCTACTAAGTAGCAACACAGCTATGCGTGTCTGCCCAGATAGTGTGTTGTACCACTCAGGAATATCCCCTCTAGGGCCTGATAGCTATACGCCATTTGAGTGTGATGGAACGATGTTCCGGAGTGTCACGCAGTTTATGTCTTACAATAAGGCCATTAGCTTGAAGGACACCCGAAAAGCTGAGCAAATTCTGCAGACGTCGGACCCTTCACAGATGAGATACTTAGCTTCAACGATATCTGAAAAAGATGATCGTCAGTGGAGGAAGATGCGAGATGGGTTCCTTACTAGGGCGACAAGCATTAAATTCAAAGTGCATAAACACCTACAGAACATTCTGCTGGGTACAGGATCCAAGATTCTTGGTGAATGTAGCCCTAGAGACCTTGAATTTGGAACTGGGTGTAGTATGAATGACAGAGCAGCGGACGATCATACAAAATGGACGGGACAAAACTTAGGGGGAAACGAACTAATGCAAATACGTAATCAAATCATGAGAAGAAATACACCAAGTGCATAGAATTCTGGTTGACACGAAGTTCGGGAAATCATCTATGTGCATGTATGTATATGTATGTATAAGTGCTAACCATTCTCGTAGAAAATTTGTCAAAACTTAGCCTTGCTTGCATTCTAGTAACAACAGTATTGTGTTTACATTTATAAATGTGGCTTTGTTTACGTGGCTCTCTTACGTCCGCAAGTTTCCATAACAAACTGCTTGTTTTGAGTATGAGTTCATTTTCTCAGCAATTGTTGCTATTTTAAGTTCTATAAAGTACATACTCGGAAGCGATGCTCGGTGTACAAATACATACATGTACATGCATGGTTCTTTTGTGCTGGACTTTCATGAATTATAGCTCAAAACTACCATTTCATATTACTAGTAGTTGTCTTTTCACCCAGGATATCATTCATACTTGCGCACTACAAAATACCAATGTTAGATCAAACAAGCGATTGCAGCTCAATAGAAAATCTATATAAGTTACACGTACACAAGTTAAACTGGGTGGCATTTTGGAAGGTAACTTGCACTGTGCAGTAGACTGTAATCCTCGGGTGTTTACACATATAACACGGGCCAAACATGGAATACCGAGAACGCACACATAGAAGCCAATCAATGTAAGGTACTGTCACTGGGCTGTATAAAGCTAAAAATAGTTTTTTGTGCTTTTGTGTTGTGCGATTTTCGTTTATTTCACTTTGCTTGTACGGCACATAAAGGCTTTATATCCTGTGTACATGAAAATTTTTAAATGGAAAGTTATGAATGTATGTTTATGTATGATTGTGAGTGTGGCTGGAATAATGGATGCATATGAGGGAAACTCGTTTGTATATTATGTTAGAAATGAGACTTTTAATTATGTAGATTTGTATTTGATGTCCATGTTTTTAAATTGTGTAATTTCATTCTGCTCATAAGCCTGTAAATATTACACTATGTAGCCTGAATACAAAGGGTATACGTCAAGCCGTCAAACGACGGAGTGTCTTTTTGTATCTTAAGCGACTGAAGAAAGATATCTATTTTCTTCAGGAAACACATTCGTGTGAGAATGATTTGGATGAGTGGAAAAATGAATGGGGTAAAAATATTATCTTATCACACGGTAGAAAAAGAGGTGAACGAGGTGTTGCTGTATTGTTTAACGATAATTTTGATTGTAAGGTTGTCAAAAACACAACTGACCTCGATGGTAGATTTATTGTAGTTCAGATTGAAGTTGGTGGACTACAATATACACTGATTAATGTATATGCTCCAAACCTAGATAATGCTAGGAAAGAATTATTTGACGAACTATCAGTGATTGTATCCACGAATTTTGCATCTGATAATGTCATATTTGGAGGTGATTTTAATGTAGTGTTAAATAGAGAGGTAGATAGATATTCTAGGGCTATAGTAAGTCAACAAAAAGACCTATCTAGAGATTCTTTGATTGAGTATATGAATCGTTTTGACTTAATTGACGTATGGAGACACCAAAATCCCACAAAAATCCAGTATACATACGAATCTTATGCTAAGGATAATATGCAAAACTCTGTCAGTAAAAGTCGAATTGACATGTGGCTTATTAAAAGACATATGGTTAAAGAATCAGAAAGCAAAATAGTGCCATCAATTAAGTCCGATCATAAATGTATTGTGCTAAGCATTAACTCATCTGTCACTCACAAAGGAGGGCCGGGTTTTTGGAAAATTAATAACAAATTAATAGAAAATGAAGCATATCAAAAGTTAATTAAGGAACTTATCGCTAAAACTAAAACAACTCTGAATAACGCTGATGATATTCAATTTTGGGAATATTTGAAATATCAGATTAAAGTAAAAACTATTGAATTTTCAAAGCAAAAGGCAAGGGAAATACGGGGAGAGGAAATAAAGTTGTTGAAAATTATTGAAAGCCTGGACTCTGAACTAGTTAAGGATGATTATTTGAATGAAAAAGCGTGTAGAGAATATGACGATGCAAAATGTAAACTAAATGATATATATCAATATAAAGCAGAGGGGGCCATTGAGAGATCAAGATCTGACTGGGTAGAAAAAGGGGAAAAAAGCACACACTACTTCTTCAACTTAGAGAAATCAAACTATTCAAAGAAAACTATAACTGATTTAAATGTTGATGGTAATGTGGTGACAGATGAGACAGAAATACTTAACCAAATTAAAGCATTCTATGTAGATCTCTATGACTCCAAGGCTAAAGCTGACACACAAAAGTTCGTTAGTTTTGAGAAAGATCTTAACATAAATAAGTTAAATGAACATGAAAAGGCTTCATGTGAAGGTTTACTGAGGGTCGATGAATGTTATAAGGCCTTGAAAAAATTTAAAAATAGAAAAACCCCGGGAAGTGACGGGTTGAGTACAGAGTGGTATAAATGTTTTTGGAATGAAATCAATGAAATGCTTATTAAGTCTCTAAACTTGTCATTTGAAAAGGGTATCCTCTCAGTAAGTCAGAGACAGGGTATTATCTCGTTAGTACCAAAGGGGGACAAAAATCATTGGTTTTTGAAAAATTGGCGCCCAATCACGTTACTTAATATTGACTATAAGATTGCATCTAAATCAATTGCGCTCCGTATTAGTGTTATTTTGGCGAAACTTATAGGGCCCGACCAGACAGCCTTTATCAAAGATCGTTTTATTGGCGAAAACATACGGTACCTAGAGGATATTCTTGAATATTCTAAGAAAAAGTGCATTCCAGGCATTATTTGCATGGTCGATTTTTTTAAAGCCTACGATAGTGTTGAATTCGAGTATATAGAACATGTGTTGAGACTTTTTAATTTCGGGGACACACTAATTAAATGGGTAAAATTATTCTATACAGATATAAAGAGTTGTGTTTTGAATAATAATAGATCAACTGGCTGGTTCGATATTAAAAGATCATGTAGGCAGGGGGACCCCTTGAGTTGTTTGACATTTATCTTAGTGATAGAAGTCCTGGCAATTAGAATTAGACAAGATCAGACTATTAAAGGGATCCGCTTGGGAAATAATGAGCAAAAGATCGAGTTATTTGCTGACGATACAACACTGACAGTAGATAGCAAAGAATCTCTTAAACTGGCTTTAAACATTTTTGATGAATTTAAAGATATTTCTGGATTATGTATTAACAAAGAAAAGACAGAATGTATGTATATTGGTTCAGAAAGATCTAAAACTGAGGATAAGTTATACGGTTTAAAATGGGTTAAAGATCCAAGTAAATTTCTGGAAATTTGTGTCTCATATAATAAGAAATCAAATGATTTTGTTAACTTTGAGAAGAAATTAGACTCGCTTCAAAAAGTATTGAAAATGTGGTCAAGAAGAAATTTAACTTTATATGGTCGAGTTCTGATAATCAAAACGCTTGGTATTTCTAAACTGGTATATTCCATGTCAATGACAAATACCCCAAATGATATATTAACAAAGGCACAACAGATAATTTATTCATTCCTATGGGGTGGAAAAACGGAAAAGGTTAAGAGACGAACTTTAATTGGTGATTACGACGAGGGTGGTCTAAGAATGATTGACATGTTTTCAATGGAAAAAGCACTTAAACTGATGTGGCTAAAAAGATTAATCGAACCTCGACAAAGTCATTGGAAATATATTCCAGAATTGTACTTTAAACCGCTTGGGGGAATTAAGTTCTTTATACAATGTAATTTCGATATTAAAACAATAGCCCACGACGTGCCAGAATTTTACTCAAATATTTTACAAATTTACTCTGATATAAGGAATATGCAAGATCCAAGAACTAGTTCTGAAGTTAAAAGCGAAATACTCTGGAATAATAGATTTGTCCTAATTAATAACAAAGAGGTCATAAATAAGCATCTTATGGATAATGGGGTCGTTTACGTAAATGACCTCCTAAATGATCAGGGACATTTTTTACAGTATTATGATTTTAAGGCAAAATACAACGTACAAATTAATTTTATTGATTATTATGCTATAATATCAGCTGTACCGAAGGAGTGGAAACGTTTATTGAAGCGAGACTTAACGTCAGTTTTTGAACCGAGCCTACAAACGGATCTTGTGCATTTAACACTTGCCGAAAAACCAGTGTCATTGAATGGTTTAACAGTGAAGTCAATTCAAAAAATATTAAATAGAAACAAATATTTGGAACCTCTATATAAAAATGAACATGATCGTGAGTTAGGAAGAATAGATTATTTTAAAATGGCTTATAGCTGCACGAAACAAAATAAAATTCGACAACTTCAATTTAAGATTCTACATGGTATTTGTACCACAAATGCTTACTTAACGCAGATAGGAATTAAACAGGATGCTAGATGTAGTTACTGTCCATTAAGAGACACTTTAAAGCACAAGTTTTGGGAATGTAGGCGGGTTCAGATCTTTTTGAAAGCTATTAAAGAGAATTTGGGGAAATTATTCAATGTAAATCTTAATTTTAATGCCCATGATATGGTGTTCGGAAGATCTGTAAATAATGAAAACACTTTGCTAAACAGGCTATCACTAGCAATCAAATATTATATATATGCAAAACAATTTAATGAGGTAAATCCCAACTTGGACGTGACTCAATTTGAAAATACCATGTTTATGTATATACCAGAACTTCTGGGTATGACTGTTGCGAATGTCTGAATGAATGGAGGTGGTGTGAAAGTGGTTTAATATTTTATCATTGCCTTGTTTAATGTATTATTTATGTTTGATTCAATAAAAAAAAAAAAAAAAAAAAAAAAAAAAAAAAAAAAAAAAAAAAGTTTTATTGCGAACATTATTTACATAAAAAGACGTTCAATATGTCCACCATTTTGATCAATTGTAGCCCTCAATTTTGATCTAAACTGGTCAATAGCATCGATTAAATGCTGTTGAGACAATGAATTTCACTTCTCTATAGTTCTGTCCTTCAGGGACTGAATAGATGTAAAAGGATTTATGGTACACTAATTCTGTTAGTTCTCCCCATACGTGTTAGTCGCAGACGTTGGGTGATCAGGTGATCTGGGGAGGTAGTGATTAACGGGGGGGGTGAATCTAGGCACATTTCCTTTTAAACATTTGACACTCTTGTGGGATCTATTGCTTAGAGCCCCATATTGTTGGAAAATGTTATGATTCCAAAATGAGCTCATATCAGAATGGTCCAAAAATATCATAATTGGATCATTCGATATCAACCTCTGCGACAACCACATATTGGGAGAACGAACAGAATTGGTTTATCATGAACTTCTTACATCTACTCAGTCCCTTACTAAGGATAGAATTGTTGAGAATTGAAATTCATTGTCTTAACAGCATATCAATGATGCTATTGACCAGTTTAGGCCGAAATTGAGGGCTACAATTGATCAAAATGGTGGACATATTGGACGTCTGTTTATGTAAATAAGGTTTACAATAAAACTTGGTTTTTGCAAGTTTTGGAAAACCTGTTTTGAAACGAAAATGACGTCATTTATACTATGGACGCTGGTTGACAGACATTATAATAAATTTGAATTTATGATATACCAAATTAAAGATGAGTAAATTCCCTATCCATTGGTATATAATATGACATGTTTTCATCAAGAAAATCAATATATATTGTTGAAATACGAGTGTCCCATTTTTTGGACCACCCTGTATAGTCAGGTGTTTGAGAGAGGTTAATTCATAAATATCAGAAATCTACCAAGACCGAATTTCTTATGACTCCGTGGAGTCCATTAATCTGTAATTGACAGCTTACTTTTATAAGCCATAGGTTAGTTAGCCTACATGAGGTTGATTCATTGAATACTGTAGCAAAAAAACTTATATTACCGACGAGTTACTGAAAATTGACATAAATGGTTGCTCTGCGTTAATGCATATAAATTGACATACATGTACATGTACCTACAGGTACATAGTGTTATATATTATTTTTAAGCAAGCGTTTTAGATTTTAGAATTCATATGTTTTTGAGTCCAATTTTATAAGTTGCCAACCGATGTTTTTAAGCTCATTAAAAATATTAAATGCATATAATTGAAGGTGGGAAGAAGAACGGCAAGAAGAATGGTGGCAAAAAGTATGGTGGCAAAAAGTATGGTGGCAAAAAGTATGGTGGTAAAAAGAACGGTGGGAAAAAGTCCGTTGGAAAAGCTCGTCCAGCTGTACAACTGAAGTTTGACAAACGTGAGTATTTCGTTCCGCACATTTCATTTCTGAATAGAAATCACACAATACACGTAATATATTCTAATTGAAACGTGACGTCGCAATAACTATATGTACAAAATTCTATTTACTTTTCAATAAACTAGTATGTTTGACCACTAAATTTCATGAATGCAAATAGTTCTTTTCTATCGGAACAAAAACCTCGATTTTTGATTTATGGCAAATATTTGACCTTATATACGATTTTGGTCTTTTAACAAGAACAGAATAAATCTTTCGCTCATATATCGCACCATAAATGTTTTTTATTCATTTAATATACATTTGACACATTGTTTATCAGAGTTCCGTTTGATTGTATTTCATAAGCCATTTTCCATCGATTTTAGTGTGCACTGGACGAAAAGAACTGGACTTCATTCCTAATGCACAGGATGTATGCCAGTATTTCCGATGTGAGCACGACAGCAATAACAATCTTGTTAAAGCAATCGTGAAGAGTTGTGCTCCCGGGACTTTCGTGAAGAAAAACTACAGAGCTGGGATTCAAAACCCATGCGTCGGAAACCTTCAGGTGGACAAAAGTGTCACATGTGGACATCCCCACGGATATAGTCCTAGTCCTAAAGGTTCGTTAAAGCTGATTTTGATTTTATTTTATTTACAAAATAGACCAGCTAGGCCGCATGATGGTTACGTCAAGGCGATTTGCAAAATTGTGCAGTAACGATATCAAAAAATGGCGGATGGGAAAGACAGCATGTCCCCTTTTTCGCCTGTAGGCACAATTAACAGATAAGATTTCCTTTTCAAATTGTTCCATTCGGTGACGTTTATATGGATGGTTATAAAGACTGGGCCAAATCTGCCATGTGGTTTACTAGAAGCAGAATATAAGCTGTAAACTTACCGACTGAGATATCCAAGTTCATAATTTTTAGTCCATTCTCGTGTTTTCTCAGTATATGTGCCTCAGAGGCACTCAAACTATCAACTGTAAGTGAACTTTGTATAAACAAGCCATAAAATGACAAATCGAATACAGGAACGTGATGTATATTGTAAATAATAAGGTTTCAAACGCAATGTCGTTAGACGACTACGTATGAATTCCATGGGCGGTAACGTATTGTATTATTTGTACATTAGATATTAAGCGGACGGTTACGTGCATGTACACATTTCAAGTCAAGGTTGCTAGTTCTAATAGCCTCTTTCCATGTCATTGCTATGATGGGTAAGAAATGGAATATTGAATTGCTTATACATGTTTTCAAGACTCGCAAGAGACGTTTTTGTTTGAGCCTCTATAGGGAAAGGAAAAAATTGTGTCTTGCTTTATTTATGAAACAAATGAAAGTCAAAAAGATAATAATGAAGAGCAAAAGAAGAATTAGCATCAGGTACTGATGAATATGACAAAATTAATAACAATTAATCGGGGATATCGGGGATACATACTTGAACGAGGTATGCATAACCGTCCATCAATTTTTTACGTAACCGCAAATTCAAAATACAAGATTATGGCTTGAGTGAGTAGAACATATCAGGGGGTTTCCAATGCTCAATTGACTTTTTATGATCGTATGTAGGTTACATATATATACCCCGAGGTCGTTAGGCAATGTAGACCATGTCCTAACGACAAAAATAAACAAATTACTAAATTTTGTGTGATTTTAAATTTCAAACTCATCAGTTTTTCGCTTATTTCATGTTAACCCCGGGCATCAATTTGCAAAGACTACGTTCAAAATATACATTAAATGCATCACCTAATACGATGCTTACATAAATTGTTCATCCTTTCACTGATTCACAGTAGTAGAAAAAATTCACTTACCTTAGTTTTCTGTTCCATCGCGGCCATTTTATTGGATAAATCGGTGAACGTAGCCTTCCAACCTCGTTTTCAGAGGTGGCGTAACCGTCATGCTATAGCAGGGTGATAAAGCGCTCACTTAAATCCTATGCCTATGCTACCGTTTAGCTTCAGATACGAGATATGTTTTGCTGGGGATAAGGGGTGCCCAAAATATGATTATCCAAGCTCGGAAAATCGATTTAAAATGAAGATTTTAAACTGAGTATACTTGAAGAACTATCAAAGAAACATAAACATATTTATTTTGATCATAACCGTGACAACAATGACAAAGTAAGTACTGTTACATTTTGAATTATGAAAATCCGAAATAGATTTAAATTTAAATAATATTTTGAAGTTTAATATCGCATTATTATTCGAAATTATCCGTTTGATTTCTCTCATTTCTATAATAAGTTCAGATAAGTAACCTATAATCGCAAAGAGGATTAGCTCCTAGAATGCAACATCGATCTTCTGCTCCATATATGGTATCGTGACCTTTAACGTTATTTACACGTCACATGCAGTTCCGCCTTTTTAAAACCTGTCACATGTTAATTAGGTTAAAGGTCACGATACCATATATGGAGCGGATTATCAATGTTGCATTCTGAGGGCAAATCCTCCTGCTATAAACGAACATTTTTCATTAGTGTAAACATCAATGGTGATGAAAAGGTACTCCTTGAGTCAAAGTGGTATGTCTCTAGAGGTGTTAGGAGGGGAAAATGACTTTGGACTGATGGATGGGTTTGGTGGTTGGTGCTCTTGCATCGTCAGCAGGCAGCACGTGTGATCGACAAATTATAACCGATATTTTAGAACCGACCTTTAAATAATTAGATCCGGAGGGATATTATGTTTGTATAATTCTGTTGCTGATAATTTTAAACTTCAACTATCTACTATTTTAAAAACAGTTACTTATAAATCAGTTTCTCAGCATATGGTCTTCAATGTATAGTCAAGTGTTAAAGAAAGGGTAAACTATTAATTTTCAAAATCAGCAAAATCCTTATAATGCGAAGAGTGCATTTATTATTAACAACTTATTGTTACAGTCAATATCTTGGTCAATATATATGAGCTGAAGGTTATTTAAGTGTAAAATGCATATAATTGAAGGTGGAAAGAAGAACGTCAAGAATTACGGAAAGAAGAACGGAAAGAAGAACGTCAAGAATTACGGAAAGAAGAACGGAAAGAATTACGGAAAGAAGAACGTCAAGAATTACGGGAAGAAGAACGGAAAGAAGAACGTCAAGAATTACGGAAAGAAGAATGGCAAGAATTACGGAAAGAAGAACGGCAAGAATTACGGAAAGAAGAACGGAAAGAATTACGGAAAGGAGAACGGAAAGAATTACGGAAAGAAGAACGGAAAGAATTACGGAAAGAAAAACGGCAAGAAATACGGAAAGAAGAACGGAAAGAATTACGGAAAGAAGAGCGGCAAGAATTACGGAAAGGGCAATACTGGACGTAAGTGTTTCGTTCTGTTCATTTCTGAATACAGTAACACATTTGAACATACCAGATCGTTCAATAAATTTGTGGAAAATACTCTCATATCAAAGGGTTCTGATATTGCTCATGAAATAACAAAACATTTAAAACATATCTAGTGATTGATTTCTAAAATATCAACATCTCTAATTTGATTTTATTTGGTCATGACTAATGGCTAATATGGCTATTTGACTTTCAGCTAGGCGGGGCACTTAACGTCAAACAATTTACCATCAAAGAACTAGCAAAGTTTGAAAATGAAGGCTTTTTTCCCTACTTTTTTTATTTGTTCTCGTTTAAATTAAAAATTGTTAATGTATAACAATTAAATGTCATCACAATCACAGTTCTAGTTAGAATATCTATATGGCAATCAAGGGTTTAGAAAACATTAAAAATGTTTGAGGAATATCATCAATTTTAAATTGCAAAAACGTGATGTGTGCATCATGATTGGATTTTAAATTTTTCCTACCGTTATGACGATAGTTATTACTGAGTCGGGACAGCATCTTTTCCAATCAACCGAGGTTGGGCCATGCAGCCGAAGGTAAGCCATACAACCGAAGGTATGCCATACAACCGAATTTTGCCGATTCAATCTGACGGAGAATGCCGAGCCCCTATTTTTGACCAATTAGAGACATCCTCTTCACATTCGTGGTTCCTTCGGCCAACTTCGTTTGCAAAGAAAAGCTTCGGCAATCTTCGGTAATCTCCGGCTTTTCTTGAGGTATCTTCGGTTGATTGGCAAAAGTCGACACCCTTACTGAGTCATGACGTCATTCATCAAGCTCAAGACGTGTTTGACTCGTATGCGCTATACCACATCCAACAGCAACACACATTCATCATATTTGCTTATTGTTTAAAAATATATTTAAATCTCCCCGAAGTTAAACACACTTTAATGATCATTCAATGTTTCTAATGCCTGGGTCACTTAAGCTGCGATTCATCGGCCGGCGCCCGGCAAATTGAGCATTTTGTTCAAAATTGAATACATTTCTGAACAAAATACTCTATCGGTCAGGCGCCGTAGTGAAAATCGGAGCAAATGTGACCGAGGCATAAACAGGGTGACTGAAAACAGACCCGGTAAAATTGAAATATTTCTTTAAAACACATGATGCACCTTTAAATTCAGGAAATGTGGTCATTTGATAATTATTTAGCCCAGTCTACTACGATCGTGCCGGCATCTATGGAATATATCAAGACATTTTTTACTTAGTATATACAATACATCGGGAAAAATATAACATTTTCCTGAAAAAGCAGAAAGGGCAATATTAGGAAAAAACAGAGGACGGAGTTATTTGAATAAGAAGTTATCTGAATGAACTTGTACAACTATTTAATTTAAATGAACGACAAAATATATACATAATATTTACAGTGTACAATACATAATCAATTGGATGAGCACTTAACTATTTTTCGACATGTTCAAAAATCAATCAGAATTAAAAATACTGTTAAAAAATATATGCTGTTCTTATTCTGTTTACCACTGGCTATACAACTTTTAAATTGGATAATCTTCATAGATGTAGTCTTGGATAATCCAGGGTTACCAAATAATATTTCATAACATATGGGAAATGCATATCGCATAAATATTTAACTTTTCTGCATTCATAGAAATAATGCATCAGGTTGTCTTGAACTAAACAATCTTGACATAGTTCATTTAAGTACTTCATCAATTTGATATTTATACATTAATTTTCTTGTAGGAAATATTCTATGCATAATTTTCCACTGTAATTCTATCATTTTTGTTTCTATAAATAATTATTTTGTAAGGGTCCATTGTTTTTCTCTAAATCTATCTGGACCAATGAGCAATCTTTCTTTAGTTAATTCAAGTCTTACATTTTTACATGTTAAATCTTTTACATCAATGTTTCTGAAAGAATAGTTCTATTTATAAACAGTCTTGAAATAGTAGAATTAACTATGAAAACACAACATTTGAAGAACTTATAGATCATAAGCCATACTTTTATTTCTTAAACCAAAGAGAAGCTCAACATGAAACAGGGTCTCTGTTTATAAACGTGTTTATTATGAGTATGAGTATTAGTAAAGTTGCCTCCCACTTTGCTATCATATGACCATTTCGAATACTTCCAAAATTATTATCAATATCATTATAATCATCAAACCGGGCATGATTTGTATGATAAATGCCACGAATGTATTCTTTCACACAATAAATCCTCCTCATTCTTCTTTGTGCGCAGAGTGTGAATATGCGTCCTTGATTCCATTTGAGAAAAATTCAAAAATGCTCAAGTCGTTTATTTATTTTTTTTTGACTTCTATTGATACGTCGATATGTAAGTTGTATTCTATTGTATTGTATTGTATTGTGTTGCATTTTTATGTAAATTAATTTGCCTCTTTATTTTTAGTCGTACCAGCTGGAGATATCTTTGACGAAGGTAAGGACTCAATCAAATCTGTTAACACAATTGCCAAATATAAATCCCTAAATTTTTAAAGAAAGAAAAAAAGACATGAACAAAAGGGAGGAAATCTTAACTCTGAGTTTAAAAGACCAAACTCCTGATAAAAACTCCATTAGCTGCCAGATTTTTATTAAATTTTAGTTGTCTTTGTTAAGTACACGTCATATTATCCATTTTTAAAAACATGTCGTTGAAGAATAAAAAAGAAGTCATACATTTGTTAGCCAATCGAATGCAATCCAAGATAAACAATCTTTTACATCTAAATCATAAATAAATTTCCATATAATACTACTCTATTTATATATATATATATATTTATATTTTTGTTTGTTTGGATATTCAATATTTATAACAGCGGTACTCTATCAGGCTCTTCCCATACTAAATCATATTAGTTATACAATTGCATGCTGATACTTTACATGTATATTTTTCAGGATGTGGTGTCAATCTTGCCATTGTCATGGATATGTCTTGCAGTGTTAAGATGCCCAACAAGAAACGCATGATTGAGGCAGTGACTGCGTTGGTTAATATGATCAAAATTGGAAAAGACGACTCGCTAGTGAGTAACTCGGACCAATTTCAATAAGTTTCTATGTGTCGCTTTTATTTAGGATTATATAGAAGTCACATCCTAATGTGTTACATATCATTTACTTATTCTTGAAACCACGCAAAGTTGCAATTTACTCTCTTACTCTCTGAACTAACATTGGTACTAATATATGTGTGTGGTGGATGAAATTCAATATATCTTTTGCAGATTAGTATCATTCGTTTTGATTACAAAAGCCGGGTTGTTGCTCGATTTGGATCTTCTCAAGCTGAAATACTAAAAGCACTGGAAGGTAAGGCGAGATATGTATGTTTTCATGATATAGACTATAGTTATTTATTCCTTGAAAATGCAAAATTAAATCCACCGAACAACATTTCTTGAATATTGTCATTTGCTCACACCATTCCTTGTCATACCAAAAGTGCATACTACTTATTCCGAAGATTTTTAGATTGATGTTTTCATTTTTCACAAATGGTCTACCATGTATTGTAGAATATACATATATCTGGACTTAGAATCATAAATATTTTCACCGTTAGATTATATATTGTTGATCTTTTTTGAGATGTGTATTTGGGATGGTAAAGCTCAAAATATCTTACTCTGCCTTCAGATTAAAGCCTCCAATTTAAACATATATTCCCCTTTCGTAGAAGGTGGTATTTCAGATAAACTGCATGTCAAATTTGCCCTTTTCGTAGAATTTATCCACAATATCATTATTTTTTGTCATGCATTGGCAGTTCTTTTTGGATTATATAAATATATATTGTTCATCATTTAGAGATTTGAATTTTTCCATTTCTTAAGATTTATACATAATATCGTTATTCTATTGTTATGCATTGGCAGTTGTTGTTTAAAAATCATCTGTATTGTTTTTTAAGATATGGACATGAAAGCCGACAAGTGTCGAACTGAAACTTTCCACGCGCTAAACAGAGCAAGAAAAATGCTTCGCAAATTGAAAAATGGGAAACCAAATGTGGCATATGTAAGTAGAATTGGAAGCAAATGTATTATTTCCATATGTGACATATGTGAGTAGAATTGGAAGCAAATGAATCATTTCCAAATGCGACATATGTAAGTTGAATTGGAAACAAAACAAATGTATTATTTCCAAATGTGGCATATGTTAGTAGAATGGGAAACAAATGTATTTTTTCTAAATGTGATATATGTTAGTAGAATGGGAAACAAATGTATTACTTCTAAATGTGATATATGTTAGTAGAATGGGAAACAAATGTACTATTTCAAAATGTGGGATATGTAAGTAGAATGGGAAACAAAGGTATTTTTCCAAATGTGACATAGTTATTAGTAGAATGGGAAACAAATGTATTATTTCACAATGTCACTATGCAAAAAGAGTGGGAAACAAATGTATTAATTCAAAATATTGTATATAAAAGTAGACTAATGTGACATATGTAAGTTGAATGGGAAACAAATGTTTTATTTCCAAATGTGACATTTAATAAGAAACTGCACCATATCGTTACATGATCCAGGAACTGTTTTACACAATTTACATATAACTTATTCAAAAACTTTACATACATAATAATGTAACCTATTCAGGAACTGTTTCACGCAATATCTGTAACTGAAACTCCTTTACATAATGATGTTAAAGGCTCAGAAAATGATTTGCACAGTATGTGTTACTAATTCAGGAACTGTTTAGCATATTTCATGTGTCCGTTTGGGATCTGTTTTACACAAAGTACGTAAATTATTCAGGAACTGACTAGTTTACACAATATATGTCACCGATTAGTAAACTATTTGCACAATTTATGCAATTGATAGGGTTACAGTATTATTTTCTCAATTGTTTTAATTAACTCTTTCGATTTATTATTTATCAATACAAAAACAATGATTAAAATATAAGCATCTACTCGAAGCAATGCTATTAAAATATATGTGATTTCAGATATTGACGGATGGGAGAACATACAAGAAGGGGGGAAAGAAACTTACGCTTAGAGCCGCAAATGCCAATCACAAGGCTGGTATTTTCACGCTTGTTGCAGCTCTTCCAGCAGGTCATAGGAAGACGGCAAAACTTAATGATGAATTCAGAGCAATTGCTTCTAAAGGTGCAAATGGGAAAAAACTTCTCTTTGCTGTCAATAGGTAAGGCGCAGTTTTGTAATTAGTTAATGGCTTTACTTTATAACAATATTTAGCCAATGTTATTTCATTGTAAATATATTGGCGATTTTGACCGTATAAAACACTACTATTGTAAAGTATTCCATGTAGGGACATTACATTTCTCTCAGCATCTATACCATCACTATCAATAGAGAGGTTTCGCAAAACGAATTGGCTAAAACGTATCCGCATCCGTATCTCGTTACGTTTACGGATACGTATTTCGATAATTTTCGTTTCGCAGTTCGTTTTTTGAAGTACGTAATTATAAACGCATCTCAATCCGTGTTTAATAGTAATAATAATAGTAATATAATAAGAGACTTCATCTGCAATAAGATTTCAAAACACCATTGGGAGTGTCAGCTTTCAGAATCACAACTCCAAAAGTATTTTTGGTGAGTGCAAAAATACATATTAACCCTTTCATCCCTAAGGTGTCATTTATTAATTTCATGACATCAATTTCAAGAATATCCTTTAGGGCAGAAGAGATTATTTCTAGGTTTACAATAACTAATTCAGTGTCAAATTATACTTTTGGGAATATTTAAAGGTTTGAAAACAGAAAACAGGCTGAATAGTGGTCATTACGTGACGTGCAGTGACTGCGTTATGCCACAAAATGCGTAAAGATTTCTAAAATCACTTGCCATACTGCACATGGACCTTTAATTTCATGTTCTTGCAGCTGTATATTTTGGTAATAATTCAAGATCAAATAAGTAAAAAAATGCGACGTGGGCAAGGCCAGGGCATTCGGAAACCACACGTTTTCACACAAGCCACCCCCTTTCCTCATACATGAGCTTTAGTTGAAAACTCATGCCTCATATAAACTAAGGAGGGGAGCAAAGTAACATATTTGATCATAGAAAGCGACACAATTATATCATTTATGCAATAAAAGTATGTTTAGATGAGAAATCAACAAAAAATAAATTATGTAAAAAGATAAATTAGCATTGTTTTTCTTGAATTCATTGAACAACAGGGGACCAGCTCATCAGAGTGCGACGAGAAGCTAACGTTTATCATACCAGTTGAATATCTCACCATCATAATACCCTATATCCCCTTTGGGGTCTACACAGAATCAACTGATAAACCAAAAACATAATACACTAAACCGACCATTTGTTTCTTAACCCAATAAACACAACAACCTGGTCGGCCACAGCCCACAACTCTACATATAAAACCTATAACAACCAAACACAACCTAGATCACCAATCATGCAACAGTACAATAGAACATAACCCAGTGTCGAAATACACAGGACGCAATAGAGCATAACCCAGCACCAAAGCCAGCATAGCGCAACCTGACTTACAACCACCAAAACACAACCAACTGTCAGGTTAACACAATATGTCACAACCCAATAATAAGACAACAAAGACAAACACAATCAATTGTTGAATTAACTCAACACAATTGTGCACAATCCAACACTAAACAATAAAAACACAATCAGGCACAACCAATAAAACACAACTAAAGTAACAACCATGAAAACACATCGAACTGTGAAATTATCACCACACAATTTGGCACAACCCAATGGTAAACCAACAAAAGCAAACAAATCACAATTTTTCAAAACCCAAAACAAAACAATCAAAACAAAATCAGGCACAGGCAAAAAAACACATTAAAATTGTAATACCGAGATACACTACTAACTTAACCCAATTGGAGACAACGCCAATCACACAACACAATCAGACACAACATGATACCTCACCCGACTAGCCACAACCAGCTAGCCAACCAACATAACATATTCACAAGAGAAAACAACCCATTATGAGATTAACATAACACAATGGGTCACAACCCACGACTAAATCACCAGATTAACAGCCATCAAAAGAGAACCGTATCTCAAACGTACACAACACAATTCGGCAAAACCTATACCTACTTGACACTAACCCACCATTACACAACCAGGCTTAACCAAATACTCAATTGATTTACTCAACCCATCAAAACACAATCAGGCACAACCAATAAACCACAACGAAACGTTGATACCGATTTACTCAACTAAGTTATTCCGAATGGAGACAATCGCACAAAACAATCGGGGACAACCCGATATCTACTGAATATGTACTTGAATTACACCCCCCCCCCCTTCCCTATCATCACAAGGTTGCTACTGAAGAACACATCATGGACCACTACCAAAGAGTTAGGAACATCTGGGGCCCCTACCGTGATTATGTGTAAGAGAGAAGATCTGTTACAGGATCTGGATGTCAGGCCTGTCTTTACAAAAATGAAAATCGGAAATGATACGCCAATATCATCATCCTGCTAGGATCAAAAAAATATACTCTACCTGTTACACAATCACTGACGGTGGTTCGGGGAAGTTTGGGCACTACGCTTTAGGGCACTAGTCTCCCTGGACCCCCAAACGAGGCCGCTTACTATTTGACATAGATCGCATGACTTGATGTGTGTTCAATTCATACCACGGGAAGAAGCTACCTGGCTAGAAATTTTTTCAAAATCATTCAGTTTTTCATCATACTGAGCACTTTTCGGGAGTTTTAAGCCAAAAAGCTCCCCCTTGCCACAAGCTGGATACGGGCAAGAGTGATGCGGGGCGCCATCTTTAGGCTCTTGTCGAGGTCAGAACCAAGCTCCTATACTCAAACTAAGCCCAAGACCCTGCTCTATATGAATTCGGAGCGTGACTTAAGGCACAAAATATATATTCAGGTGGCCTAGCTGCTAACTATTGGTTTGATGTCCCTAAGAAATTGACTACGGTATTACTATTGACCACAGAAACGATAGACCTTACATCTGCCTATTAGCAGATGTGACTAAAGCTTTATTCGTAAAAATTGCAGGCCCCTCGCTTATAATCAAAATTTATCGGCAGATAAGGCTATTACTTCATCAAAATTAGCACGTTACACATGATAACATATGTGGGTTACTAAAATTATACATTTAGGGAAATTTTTATCAAGATTTGAAGGACAAAATAGATACGGAGACAACCACGCACAGAAAGTGTTAGTTTACGTACTTTCGGTATTGCTGATGGTATCACAAACGTATTGAGTACACTTTTACTCCATCGATGTGTTACGGATTTTGATACGGGTAGCTAAAAACGTTGTGCGAAACATGTACACTGTAATTATTGCAATACCATTCCATACATTGTAAAATGAATTGAACATACCATTTGAAAAACTCGATTTATTTCAAACAATAAACAAATTCATTCACCAAATTTTAGTCAAATTATACACAGCACACTGTGCTTGTTCATATAGTGATACCTTTAGAACTAAAAACAATATAATCGAAGGGTAAAATCGGTTACGTAAATGACCAACGTACCAAAGCCTCATTTTTCGTGTTTTCCGTATCATTTCACGTATAAATTGAACTGACTACGCATAAATCTTGGAAATACGTTACGGATACGGATCCGTGGAGCTAAAAACCGTTTTGCGAAACCTCTCTATTGACAATATACATACGTATCTAAGACCTTGCTCATATCATTTGAATATTTGAAATGGCCTGCTATGTGATGCGTTTGAACGACATTTGATAAAATAAGAGACTGTTTTAAAAAAAACTGCGAAAAGCATTAATTATAATTTAATAAAAAATTTACCCCGCATGTTCAAGAATTTGCTCTAATATGGCGCAATGGTAAATCACCCATCTCGACTTGGTCCAGATATTTCAACTTTGCTCGAACTCTACATATAAGCTTTATTGCAAGCTGCAACTGAGAGCATGACTATACGTCGTTTGTTGCAGACAAGAAAATACAGATTGGGTCGGGGCATGATGATCTTGCTAGTCACAATTTGAACAAGGTGTCAGCTTGACATTTTAGAGAGACCCGCTTTAGTTAATGGGTTACATTTGCTTCTACATGTATACATTGGCAGGCGCCCGGCAATTTGAGTATTTTACTCAGAATTGTATTAAGTTTTGAATAGAATACTTAATCGGCTGGGCGCCGGCTGATGAATCGGCGCAAACGCGACTTAGGCATAACTTTAACTAATAGTGTGACACTGATTATGTTATGTGCCTATATTTGTGATGAATCCTAACTTTTTAAGTTTCAATGTATTTATTTAATTACTAACACTTTTACTCTAACTTACTTATTATTACTTTACAGTGATTGAAGGTGAAAGATCTATGATGTCGCTTGAAATCTCTTAATAATTGCGTTACTACTACATTTTCAGCTTTGATAAGTTGAAGAAATTCATGCAAGAAGCTGTATCTGACATTTGCAATGCACCAGTAATTCCTGACACCCTTGACCCAGATGTCGGCGCTGAACTAGACAAGAATGTTGATGACTTAGAAGTTGCAGATGAAAACCTGGCACCAGTAATTCAATGTAAGAAAAACTGCCTCGCAATGTGTTAATAACGACAATTTAGATTTTAGCCAAATAGAAAAGTTATTGAGAAAAAAATACTGAAAAGCTATAAGAAAACGCTATAAGCAATAGCCCGACCGGTGTTCTCCGCATCCGTAAATGAAAGGAAAAATTTAAAAAAACAAAAAATTAAAAAAAACGTATGTATTAGGACACCGGATTATATCCGGTTATAGGCGACATTAATCTCTATCAAATTTGATATATTCCTGGGGCGGGAATATTAGGAGAAAGTGCTCCCTCTATTTGCTCTTCTTTTGAGAGAAAAGAACATGGGATTGGAGTTCTCGGATGTTATATTTTCCATTACCACCGTAGTTAGATAAAAAAAATCATTTTTTCAAAAACGTTTGGTTAATGACGCTGATAGCCTGATTTAAGCAATACAGAGCTAACGTCAGATTTTCCAAAATCTATAAACTACATATTATTGCAAAGATGACTAATTTACCTGGCTACTAGGATAATGCCAACTTATATAACTGAAGGGTATCGCAGAATTTTCATTTTGAAACCTTTGTTTCAGTTCAGATACTTTATCATCCATAATTTAGGATTGTGAAGTGACCTGAATGACATCATCAAAAAGTGTGTTCAATCCTTCCATTGGTTTACATTGCGAGGTCAAAGCCTCATTCTGAGTTAAAATCACATTACTAATAAACAGAGAATTAACATTAAACTTGAGAAATCAGAACATTTTCTTCTGTTAAAATCGCAGTTTTATAGTGAAGGTCTTACACAATGAAAAGTATTTAAACCTTTGTAATTTTACACCATATTGCCCAGGAAGCTGATTTGCCGCATAGAAGGTCATATTTTATATGTGCACATATATATGGGTTTAAGGAGTTCAAATTCAATTCCATCGTTTACAGGGCGAACCACACAGGCATCAGTGAACTCTGCAATTAACATAATTTTGTTTTAAGTGTTCTTCGCCTACCTTTTTCACAATGCAAGAAGGTGTGGATATGTACAAAGATTGTATTTGTTTATTTCAGATGGTCCACCGAGCAAGAACAAAATCATAAGTAAGTTCAGTTGTGTTTCTTTAATAACATAGTTATAACATTGGTACCATATCGACAGACAGATCTTTAAAATTAATTAGTTTCGGTAAAAATATCATGGAAAAAATACTTGGTGATTGGTGGTCGTGATGGAATATATGTTCGCCTCATTTATCATTCTCATACTTAGGCTATCGCCAACGGTCAATATGTTTTTTCATTGACCCATATCATATACTCACTGGGAATAAATTCATTTTACATCCGTCTCATTGGATAACTACTATGTACTCGATATGTTTTTCAGCTTGCAAGGTTGATGTTATGCTAACAATGGATACGTCATGTAGTGTAAGGTGGAACAATAAATTGAAGGTTCTGGAGAACTTCGTGAAGCTTACTGGAATGTTTAAGCATGGTGAAGATGCCGTTCAGGTATATATATATATATATGTTCAAAACGCTGACACATAATTAAGAAATGATTGATATGGAGCAGCTCTAGATATCATTTAGTAATAAAACTTGACGAATCGCTGCAAAACTAAAATATTATTTAAAACCAACATAGCCCAGACGTCACTATCCAAGGGATTAACCAATACCAGATATGTTATTTTTTATCGAAATTAATTTCTTAACCATATATACAACACTTAAATATTACAAATGCAATACAAATGATATAATCATAGATGTTTAAATAAAATATTTTAAAATGATAAAGATATTCAAATGCTATTATTTTGTACAAAATCTATCAAGACATTTCAAGTATTCAATAATGTAATTTTGCTAGCCTATAATGCTACTGGCGCTAGGCAACAGTACCATACAATTCAATAATGTTATAAATAATGAATAAATAAAAAAAAGATATTAGAATATACTAATACCTAGTATAACTATCGTTTTTAGCAAGGCTGTATCCAGTTTGACTTGGGAGCCCGACCTTGCGGAGACGAAGGATTTGCACAGACAAATGATACTGCGGAGATAATGGCCCAATTGGCTCGAACAAATCTCAAGAAGGAAGGCTGTAGAACTCACACTTATGCTGCTCTAGAAATGGCTGGAGTAACTCTGATTGAAGAGGGGCGTCCAGGTGTTCCAAAAGTCAGTTATTATTTTGTCCGAATTCTTACCTATTTTTTTAAATATTTGATTAATAAATTTTAAACTGAACTTGAACACTTAGTTGTTTTTTATCTGTATCACATTTAATCATACATTTTAAGATTTTTTCAAATTCGGCAATAAAAGATATCAAAACAACACAAATTCAAGATAATTAGTTAAGAGTATATATCTTTAAATGTGCAGAGTACGATTTGAATGAATGAATCCGATATGCATTTGCGGTCAGAAACGCAAATCGCCATAACGCTTTTCGAAGCGATTTCTAGTAACGACTTTACTTTTAGTTACGGCTTATACCTGTTGATTTCGATCAATGGGTAGTTTCGCTTTGTTTAGTTGAATGAGTTGCGCACGCACCCATATATCTGGTTACCTGATATTATTATTACATTTACACGGTGCCCATGTCAATCTGCGCGCCTACGTAACTAGGCACGTAGTTTGAAACTCTGACAAACTGCGCGCATATTTCAAAATGGAAGACTGGGAAGACACGACTCCCAAAAGAGCCAAAATACGAAAAACACAGGGCTAGTCTTGTTCTAAAGATAGAACCATTCTGTGAAGATGAACTTAATCTACTCATAGTACTCAATGTATTTCCCGGGTATTTTAACGCCATTGGTTTAACCTTTGTAAAAAATAATTGAATTTAAAATATTATTTACTTTGAATAGGTACATGTCGTTGCAACTGACGGTCAAACCTTTAGACAAGGCGAAGGACCTCTTACAATGAGTGCTGCAGCTCTTAACAATAGGGCTGGCATAAATACTTTCGTATTTGGTAGGCATACTTAATTTTAAAGAAGTGATACTAAATTACTACTCTGTAAGGACAAGTGCCCTAAAGACAAACCGTGCTAAAAACAACAATCAACTAAAACTATTAAACTGAAACAGTCATAAAGTTAATTGTCCTTCGACCACAGTTGTTCCTTTTTTCAAACTTGTGAAATAAATATGATTTATAATGTTCCATTTCCGGAAAATAGTGAAGCAACATTTGAACAGTTTAAATAAAAAATATTACGTTTATAAATATTTCACTATAGCACTGTTTCTATTTTTAAACTTTTGAAATAAATATGATTATAATGTTCTATCTCCAGTGTGAAATAGTAGTTCACTCATGGAACAGTTTGAATAATATATTTTCATTACTTTTAGAGTTCTTTGACCATTGTACTGTTCATTTTCAGCTCTCCCCGCCGGAGATAGAAAACAACCATCTAACAGCCGTGAATTCGCCGCAATGGTCAGTAAACCAGAAAACCTTTTTAGCCTGTCGAGCTATGACGATCTCGAAGGGGCCTTAGCTGTTCTTGGTAAAAATATTTGTGGAGAGAAAGAAGGTGAAAATACAGTGACAGAACAAGAATGGGAAGATTTGGAAGAAAATGTAAGAAAATATCACCTTATTGATAAATAGTTTTTGTTTGTTGATCGGAAGCTTTGGTCGAAACTTAATACTAAATCCCCTCGAAACGTTTGACAACCATAGCTCTCCATTGGCCGTCGTGTTTACGTTCAGAATACAAGTATTTTCCAAGGTTCGCGATCGTAGCAATTGTATCCTGAATTCTCCCCAAGCTTTCTTCAAATTTAATTTCCTTGATTTTTACGATCTAGTTGAATGTTTCAATATCATTCCATTCCATACATATGTCCCTGAACCTTATTATATTACCCCAAAGAGAAGTAGATTAAAATGTAATCTCTTTTTGAAAATATTTTAAGGAGGGATTTTTAGGTCTGCTTTTCATGGAAACATGCCTCGAACAGCAACTGATATAAACACTGTTTTTGAAATATACGAGGATTGTTAAATTAATACTTAGCCAAATGCTCTAATTTCTTATGTTTCCAGAGTAATGAAACTTTCAGGGTTTTATTTATTGAACGACCCTTGCAGAAGCTACAAATATACAACTATCAAATACTGTTTCTCTTCCGTGAATAATGATATATTTTCCGTTGACATGTCAGTGTTCCTAAAATACAACATTACACGATAGTACCATATTGGTTTGCTATGTTGGTTAAATGTATTGTACAAAAACATCTTCATTCAGCCATAATAACCTACACTGTTGATCTTGATTTTCTCTGTTCTCTGAATATAAATGTAGAAAGAAACTGTGTTGTGTTAACCCAACAATAAATGTTATATGTAATCAATAATGATAGGAGTCCCTCCTATCGGTCCCGTTTAGTATTTGTATTTACTTTCTATACTATCATAGCTTATAAGCTTTTGTTTCTGGTAGTTATACATGGACAAATAAAGCAGACACTGAGTTTATCATAACTCGAGGACTTACTGCACCTCCTTTGTCAATCTCTCCTCTAATTTTTAAAGCTTTTAATTTAAGCATTTTTTAAAGCTTGTAAATATATCAATCTCCATTTCGGTCCTTGATTACATTAGTTCGACTTACAGTTTGAATCGTTTTAGAACGGCACGCGTAAGTAGGCTTTAGTGAATGACTTAAAAGAGAACGGAGTGTGCTTTTACGTGACACGTTTTATGCACAACGCCTCGATGATACTAAGGTTAATAGTATTCAGTGAAAAGGTAAAGTTAACACGAGACATCCAGATTTAATTGGATGATAGTCCAGGAAGGGGTTCAAGCGAAGCCCCTTACCAAACATTTTAGTTTCTCACAATTATAACCACACTTCGATTGATACTTGGTCAGAATTGTCATATTTCACCTCACTTCAGTTTTCAGAACTACCCCTCCCAAATTGGCAAACGTTGGTTCATGGAGTAGCTTGAATTTTTTGTTCCTACTCTGATTATTTCTGACATCATTCAAAATGGACATGTTATGGAAAATACCCGACAAGTTAACATTTCCTCTTATAATTAATAACTAGTAAATGTCGAATGTTCTTGTAGATTGGTGTTGCCGTTGAAGACGATGAGAAAAATGGACCTGAGGAACCCATTCAGTTCCCTGAACCAGAAATCTTCAATGAACCACGTATGTTGATATATTACAGCCATTGTAATGTTTAATTTTATTTATTAATTTATTAAATCGTTATATTACTCGTATCGTGCTTAATGTAAAACACATTCATTAAATTATGTTGTTCATATATAGACATTTTATATATTAAGTGATAACTTCACCATCAGTTTGTCCCCGGATGAAATTTGAGTTAACTTCCTTATGGCGTTGACACATTCAGCTTTGGAACCCTTTTTCATATATGAGCCATAAACTTTACAATAGTTAGAGGTTGTAAAAATAATTGATGATAAAAATCAAAGCTGATAAAGTATTTCATATGCACATAAAGTGCATCATTGTTTTTCATGGCATATGAAAGAATCACAGTAAGTGTATGTTACATTTTTAGTTAAGCCAGAAGATGACATCCAGATTGATCCTGAAGCCGTTGACGAAAATGAAGTAACCGAAAGTAACTTTGATGGTGAACAAGGTGGTGGTGGACGAGACCGCCCACTACAAACAGGCAACGATGTTTTACCCGAACCACAAGTGGAAGTTGATCCAGTGCCCGAAACAATAACTAAAAAAACTGGAAAGAAAGGAAAACGGCCAAATGTTAAGGGCAAGGGCAAAAAGGGCAAAGGAAAGAAGGGCAAAGGCAAAAAGGGCAAAGGAAAAATACCAAGAGGTAATTGCTGTTCTATTGCTTACAACTGATATAAATTAAGGTTCGGTACCTTATGTTTAGGTATAACGTTATTATTTAATTTAAGTTAAAAACGAGAAATCGATACACATTACCTGATGACCCGATTATCATTGAATTGAAATGATAAAAAATATAACATATTTTTGGTAAAAAAAAGTCAATTTTTGCAGAGTGCAAAGACAGAGATGAGACGTTATGTAAAGAAAAAGCAGTTCGGGGAGAATGCAAGTAAGTAGCCTCAATCAATATATATTCGTGTGAACCCTTCCTTGCAGCAATGTATACTTTCTTTATCAATAAATACAATGTTTGAAACAATGCAAAAGTCATGTCCATCGAAGTACTGTAGCTTGCCTTTAAAATACTTTAATAAGAAATACTCGCTAAGAACACTTATGATATGTTTTAACGACGCTGTCAAATTCTCTGAAGATGATACAGATTCAGTGTATTTTCAGACCAAAGGAAATACTGCATTTTTTGTATAATGTTTAAACGAAATTTTGAATAATATTATCGTGGTCGTATGTAAAGATATAGCCTTAAAAGATATTTTCCATGTTTTAAGACGCTATCTAAGGAAAGCGTGTCCCGTGTCTTGTGGAGTCTGCGAACCATCAGCCAACGAGCGACCCAAGGCCGTCCCCGAAGCAAGCTATAAACAAGGCAGCAACCCAGCTGAGATCAATCTTGATGGTACAAAGAGTACTGATGATAAAGAAGTGGTTGAATATATCTGGAGAGTCGTGTAAGTTGAAAAAGTGTTAAACGTTCAATAATCTACAGAGCACTCGCTTTGTAGTCTCTGCAATAAAAATTCTTAAAAATTCAATAAAAATTGTTTTGATTAAAGAGATTTTATGTACTACTGTATATTTGTAAGTTGAATAGTTATACTTTATTGACACCATCGACACTTATCGCTCGAACGTGCAGCGATCGTCTTGTCAAGTTGATCATTTTCAATATTCAACCTTGGACAAAATGTTGATAAGATAAGTGAATACTTAATTGGCTAATGCATTAAACGTATACTTTGCAAATACAAAATGATTCAAAATTCAAAAGTTGTTTCATAAATTATAATATATATATAGATAGTTTATTGTCATATAAATGGATACTATATCATATTTGATAATGCTATATATAATAATGTACGATTATATTCAGGGTGTTTTGGATTCACTGCTTATGTCATATGTAGTCAATCCTAGATTTCAGGCCTCATAACTTATACATCAGAGTAAAGCTCATTCAAAATGTTGGGCTTTTGTATTAGATCAAATTGAGAAAATAGCGCCCTGGTGATTTTTTCTGACCAAGCTACATCGTTTCTTTATACACTATGTCTCCAAAGTTGCATGGTCAATGTCTAATTGGTACATTTATAGAGGTATATAATAAAAACTAAATTGAGTTAAATCAAATTTGTTTCAATAAGACCACAATTAAGTAAGCTTCAATATGATATATAACATATGTCAGTATACTGAATATCAAACATGTTGGCATTTGTACTTATTTTGATATTATGTTTAGGTCACCTAAGCCTAATGATATTAAGATAGATACGGCAGATGCCCCCGAAGGCACGGCTGTTGCTTCCAACGCTGAACCTGGGCAGGAAGTGACGTTTAAGCTCATTGTCAAGGACGGAGAAGGTCTCCGTGATGCAGAAACAGTGACTGTGAAGATACCAGGTATTTGAGTTGATTAAATTTCTTGTAGATCAAAATGATATTACATTTGAAAGGTAAAGGTAAGATACTTGAGTACGTGTATGTATTGGTGTATACTTTATCTTGATGTGAAATAACAAGTTATGAAACAGCTTAATTAACACGCCAGAAATTAACATGGTATCATTGGAAGCACCTTAAAAACCTGCCAATTTTAAAATTGTCCTTGGACGAGGTAATTTTTCTGTCGATTTAACCAATCAGCGACGATGTCAATACGAATTTACATCTTACTTGAACTCTTGGGGTTCCCCTCTTTAATCTTCGCCATTAAAAACGAATAGATTAATGAGGAAATATACGCCATGGATCAGACATATACTATATATACTCTTGCACTGCAAATTTGTTTTAACGTCGATCAAAGTGAACTTTGTTGACATCAACGTGACAAAGCATTCACATGCGCTCGAGCAACAGCATCCCACCGTCCTCCCAAACACCTGTTTCTGTTACCTGAAGAAATCATTGATGAATTATCACCGTTACCCTCGAACGCACATATATTTAAATTAACTCTATTTATATGTAATATAATATTCAGAGGGTCCAGTTGCTGTTGCTGAAGCTGAGCTCGATGATACAAAAGAGACAGTAGAACTCGATGGAACAAACAGTTTTAGTCCCGATAACACACCTATCGCAGACTACTTATGGGCACCTGTCGAGTAAGTGTGTTAAGTTTATATTAGGTGCATTAGAGAGGTTAAGCAACACCACTTTTACAACGTGAACCGCTTACGGGAATGCGCGCGCAGGTTTTTCCTTTGATGTGACGTCATATTGTTCTACTTGTTTCCTGGTTTGCGTTCATTGCAGCGTCATGAAAAATCGTCTTGCTTAACCTTTCTATTATATACCATATAATACTCATACCGAAATGATTCATTATCGAACCCAAAAAATCTTAAATCACCAGAAAAGTATATCCTATGACATTTTATTTCTTATTTCATGATAATGTTGTTCAAATGTTGCATTGAATAATATAAAATGGAATAATATAAAATTCAGCCCTTAACCAGAAAGATTTATAACATTTAAGTGGGCCCGCTGACATCGAAATTGATGACGAGACAAAACCAGTGACAACATTTACAGCACCTGTCGGTGGCACATACACGGTATCATTGACGGTAACTGATGAGAATGGACTCACGGGATCTGGAAATGTGGTGGTTGAAGGTAAAAAATTATAGCTTATTCATATTTTAGTATTTTTGAAGTATGTGAATCGGAGGGAATATCGACGCAGTTCATCTGATATTCCATTCCGGATATAAGCATCGCCCTGTATATCTAACTTTGAAATTGCCCCTCTTTTCTAGTACCCGAAAACGAAGCTCCTGTGGCAAATCCCGAAGCTACTGTAAGACCAAGCAGTGACCCATCTTTAGTTGATTTAGATGGCTCTAAGAGCACAGACGACAAAGAGGTTACACAACACCAGTGGACACTTGTGTAAGGGGAATCATTTGAGCTTTATAGTGTGCAAATGCTTTGATATCAATGTTACAGTGGATATGGTTATATATTTTGAAGTAATTAAGTCACTTGATATCAAATTATATTGTTGGTAAACGAAATGTGGAGACATTATCTCTCACCTTATTGGTCAGATCATTGTAAGCTTTAGAAAATCAAAAGCAATATAAACATTTATATCATAAACCTTTATAATATAAACCTTTACAATATAAACATTTGTGATATGAACCTTTTATGAAATTAACCTTTATAATAAAAACCTTTTGATCATAAATCTTTATAATATATAGCTTCATTATATAGACCCGTATAGTATAAACCTTTATAATATAAACTTTTTATATAAACTTAACATTGTAAACCTTTATACTGTAAATCTTTAGCTCGCCAGATGACTCAAATGTTGAATTCAGTGATGATACTTCACCAATGACCGAGGTTAGTGGAGTGACTCCAGGTGTAACATATACCTTCGATCTTACGGTATCTGACAAAGAAGGACTTACAAACGCTGAGACTGTTACCATTATGATTCCAGGTAAGGATATACAAACCAATGTGAAAAATGGAATTCCCTTACCTCCCCTTGACTTTTGAGGAATACACAATCTGTTTTTATAAAAATGTTAAATTGGATCTCTTTCTGTGTTTTCTCATTACGACTTTCATTTTACCTTTCAAAAAACTCGTAACGAATGTATAACATTCTGCAAGTTCTTGAAAAAGCAATTCAATCGCTTGCTAAGAGGTATGGTTAGTTAGGGAGAACGTGAACGTGTCATATATTATGACCCCTGTGAATTGTTGTCCATCTCTCAAATGATTTCAACACGAAACCTATTACAACTGTTTTTCTCACATCTCATACTTTATCAGGCAAATCATGGCCGGTAAGGCAAAACTAAAAGATCTTAAATTTGTCTTTAATTGTGGTGAAGACATTTATAATGGGAGGGAATGTACATATTTTCGAAAATTGAAATATCTTTTCTATATCGGACAGATAACATTTTCTTTAACTGGACATATTTTAATTTGCATAGCTATTAGATATATACGGTGATATGAATAGTGAGCAACTAAAACAGACGAATATTTAAGTTTATAGGATTTTTCTACTATACCCGCATATTTCTCTCGAATTCAGGAAGCTACAACTGTCGTATGGTTTCCGTAGATCAAATTTGACCGAGTCATTAGTGGTATCACTTTGTAGCTCACGACCTGATTCATTTTGTTTTCACAGTTGCACCAGTTGCGGCTGCAGAAGCTGAACTATTGGATGATCCTAGTACAGCCAAGCTCGATGCAAGCGATAGTGAATCGCCTGCAGGATCCAAGCCTGAATATGAATGGACTGTTGAAGCGTAAGTCAATATAATCAGCGGCGTTATTCCTTACTCGTTTTGAATAATCTTCCAATAATTTGAATATGTCAAGTCATTGTTGGTTGACTAAAATAATGGAAACATGGAATATAGCGGAAGTATGTGAACAAATAAGGAGACTCTTCAATAATTGATCTATGTTTTAATTCAAATGACTGTATCATTGAGTTATGTGACAGTTGTGTTTGTTACTATTTCTTAGAATAGTACCATCACGTCAACAATTGTATTAAACAAATCATTCACGAATCCACAGATTATCAGTAGGGTAACTCTAATATTAAAATAAAATATTAAGTCAATATATAAAATAAGGAAAATGCTAGTCGTATATTTAAACTACCTTCAGCGTTCCCAATGGAGCAGATGGTCCTACGATCAATGACCCATCTGAGCCTGAAACAACCCTCGAAGGGCTTGAACCAGGGAGCTACACATTTAAAGTGGACGTAACAGACCCTGAAACCGGTCTGTCAGACTCCAAATCGGTTGTCTTGGATGTACCTATCGTAGATATGGAACAGCCTCAAGTCGATCCAATCGTAGATATGGAACCAGAAGTGGGTGCCCCTGCTCCAGTTGATCCAGTCGTAGATATGGAACCAGAAGTAGGTGCCCCTGCTCCAGTTGATCCAGTTGTAGATATGGAACCAGAAGTAGGTGCCCCAGCTCCAGTTGATCCAGTCGTAGATACGGAACCAGAAGTTGATGCCCCAGCTCCAGTTGATCCAGTCGTAGATGACGGGCCAGTTGTAGGATTACCTGTTCCAGAAGAACCAGTCGACGAACGGGAATCTGGTAAAAAGGCTTCGTATTTTATCGCACCCTTGGGTGCTATATTGTGATCACTTATAATGAGACTATATCTATATAGGACAATATTTGTTTTCTGTAAATGAAGAACTTTTTTCAAACGTCACCTTTTTAAAAACTTTTTAAAGTCATAAAAAGTATAATGGAATTATTAAATCTTCACTAGTATTTTTAAACTCTGCACAAAGCCTTTAAAAAAGATGGCGGCCGTTGATTATTCAATGAGAGACCAAATGACATAACAACGTACAAAAAAGAAAACGTCTAAAAGAATAGTCATTCATTAACACATTGTTTTCAAGATCCACGAGGTCCAAGAGGTCCAAGACCTGGTCCCTCAAATGATTTTGTTCAACCACTGCCATACCCCGTGGACGTAAATGAGCCCGCACCAGAAGAAAGTAAATATGAGATATTTTGTTTTATTGCATAAAGGTAGAGTTAAAGATCAAGGGGCTCATCAAATATATATATCCATCCATATGTCTTAAAAATATAAGAAAGTTATAGTTTTCCTAGAGTATAGTTCAACTTCTTGGGATGTTAAGAAAGTAAACTGAAATAAACTGGTATGGAATTTTTAGTTGATAAGTTTATTTTTTGGATTTGTTTATATAATCATATCTCAATATCATTGTTACCTTAATTGCTATGTTTTTTACATGAGTTTATTCCTTTAGTTCACAAAATTATACAAACAATTCAATGGCAAAGTAGATGCATATACATGTATACTAACCACACGTATTGAACTGTTGTTTTAGCACCATTCGAAACAGATGATACGGATTACTTCAACCCCCCTGTAATACATCCACCCAAGACACCAAAGAGCCTTGGCATGGCATCAGGTAATGTTTGACGAACGAATTTTTAAAGTATATAAATTTTACGTGATATGAGAGTTTGTTCAGTATGTAAATATCATATATTCAGACGTGTTTATTCAGCCGACTTCAATAAAATATTGAAATACATTAGATAATAAGCAAAAATCGAGGGAGCTGTGAAATGTGTATATTTTTGATAACATGGTCAAATCACATGATTTCTAGAAATGATATAGTAATAAGAGATATTACTCATCCTTCTCAGGTGTTATTCCCGATGGAGCAATCAAATCTAGCTCAGAACTACCTGACAACGGACCACTTATGGCCCGACCAACCAGCAATAGTTGTTGGAAACCAGCAACGGATAACGACTCAGAATGGATTCAGGTACAGTACAACATGCCCCAAAAACACCTCCCTTCGCATTCGTTACCTTAATAGATGTTCTCCATACTTTCAGTTTAACCCTTAAATGGCTATTAGAGAGGATAAGCCTATCGGATAGGAGAGAGTGGCAGATTTGCCCCCTCCCCCATGATCTCAGAAACGACCAATCATAGGAGGGTGTATTAGAAGTAGTGGAACTGTAATTTAATCCCTAGTATTTTGAGCTTCGTACTCATAACTTAATTGAGAAATTCAGAACATATGGGTTTATCATTTTAAGTCAGAACTACTGACAATATGGGTATTTCAGTAACCTTGACTAGCTCTAACTTTCCTCCTAGGGGGATTTTAGCCACAATCTTTTCATTAAGAAGAGTCAGAAAGTTTCACATCAAAAGACAAACTCCGAAAAAAGTTTGGGGGATCTCCTATCCCCCTAACCGTTTAAGGGCTAAGAGAAAACTTTGAACTCTAGGAACCAGTCAGAGCTTGTCGTCATCAGAAGAACGACTCTATATGTATGTTTTTTTGTTCTGACGCCAAGATCAGGGATATTTTGAAGGACAAAATGCCATGGTCCCGCTATTTATAGCTTATTTTTCCATTTTGACAAGATTGTTGGGATCCTCCCTATAAATCTTAGAAAATGACCCACTGAGGATGCTTTGCTATATCCTGCATCCCAGGAAGTCTATTTTGACTCTATACATGAAGATGCATATAAAGTCATCATAGCCATAAATTAGTTGAATATTGGAAATAATATTTCATTCCATTGAGGGAATATCTGTGCATCTTTCACAAGAGGTATTCCACGAAGCCAGGAGGGCTAGTGGAATATCATCTTCTGAAAGTACCACAGGCATTCACCGCCATTTTGGCGTACACTGAACGAAAGCAAATTACTTGAAGACTCCCAGTGAGCGTGGATTGTTACTAAATATTCAACGGTTGTCTGATTAGCATTGTCATTGAATAACGCAAAGTATTCTATATTTCTCTCGATTTTAGGAAACTATCCTGACGTACGGTTAGCGTTGAGCATATAATATATGTAACTGAGGCATAGGCCATTGGATCCTGTAAAACCAGGCTTATTTATCCCCTGTTCAACTATTTTAATTTTATTTTCAATAATTGTAATTTTTATTAGGTTGATGTTGGTACTGTTATGGAAATCCATGGTTTCGGTACCATGGGAGGTGGTAATGCCTCACCTAGCGACTGGACAACATCATATTACGTAGAATACAGTACTGATGAAATAAACTGGACCCCAGTTACCATGAACAACTCAAATGCACCTTTGGTAATATATTTATACACAATATCATTAGATCCTCAATTTGTAAAATAGAATGACTCTAATAGTAATATCATAAATTTGTCCCTTTGGTTTTTACGCCGAACAGTGTCTTAAACCTCAGGCTCAGAGTCACAAAAATGCTTTGCACAATAAACTGTTGAAAAAACTGAGGGGGCGGATTGACCCCCCCCCCCCACTCCCAATGAAGACGTTAGGTTAATATATGAAACCAGTATTCAAATTAATCACTAGTTAACTACGATTCAATATGCACTTATGCTATTTCAATATGAAGAAATTCGTACTCATTTTTTTTTGTTTTTACTTCTATGGCTATCACTCCTTAAAAAGTGTCATATTTTACTTGCTTTTAAAAGTGAATCAAAATAGGACTTCAAGTTGCCAAACTTACGGATGAGATGTTTGTATATTTTACTCGCTTTCACTAGTGATCGATTTACGGATGCGGTGTTTCTATATTTTAGTTGCTCAAAGGAAACACTGACGCGTATTCCTGGAAACAGATTTGCCTTCACAAACATTTGGGACATCCCATCACCGCTAGATACTTTAGGGTTAAACCAAAGGATTCAAACGGTTCACCTTGCCTCAGGGTCGAACTCTACGGCTTCAGAGGTAATTCAACTTTTTTATTTATTCATTTGAAATCAGTTGTATTCACATAATATTTAGAATAGCTTCGTAGTTCTATAATTATCACACAGTTTACTGTTTAACTATCAAGTATTTTATTTGAAGTGAGTATCTGGTACCTGAAATTATCAAATAAATATCAGTTTGATTGAATTTAAAAAAAATCTTCAATATATGAAGCTGAGTGAATATCTACATGAAAATTGAAATTTTAATTTAAAGCCTACATTATGTTATCTACTGTTGATAACTACCAGTATAATAGTAATACATAAAACTGACGTTTTATCTATAAAAAAATAAATGACAAACGCCACTGTTTATAATATGCTCAATATCGATATTTATCTGCCCAATCCTAGTTTTAATACAATTTGGTTGATATACATGTAACTGAATATTTAAGTTCTTACTGATATTTTTCAGATCCCGCTGATCCTGCACTGTTGGAAGGTAAGAATCGAAGAATCAAAAATGTCATCTGTAAAATTATACCAATGATTTAAAACATTTGCCTAATTTACGTAATTCATATTTTTATTTGCCTAGTTCAGTAAATGATTACCATAAATCATTTGTTCAAATAATAGAATAGAACAACCAAATGGTTGCTAGTATTAAAACAATCTAATAATTTAAAAAAGTGCTTTTTGTCTAAACTAATCACTGTTGTTTATCAAATGTAATTGAGCAGTTTAAGTAATTTCTTACATTGCTTTAATAGGGACAATTCCACAGACAAATACTCTAATTCAATCTAATGGGAAAACATTGAAATCGGGACTGATCATGAAAAGCGAGGACTTTTGGTACATAACCCTATATACCATGGGATAGCTCAATATGTCCCCTTCTAAATTTAATTAAAAAATTGCATAGATACATGTATATCACCCATTGAAATAAAAAATATATATATCACCGCTTTTTCCGCCGTCTATCCGAATTTTCAATAGATAATTCTTGATTTCAATCAAACATCATCCCAATTTTAAATTCAGATTTTTCTCTTCTACCTTCTTCTACAGCTTTTCAACACCGCCCCTTTTAAACAGCACCCTCTATGGAGTAGTCCCGATTCAATCTGGAACTTTTGTTCGAAGCATGTCTATTATCAAATTAGATCAGACACAATTGGAGACTCAAACCTTGAAAGGTTTTGATAGTACTATTTTATCTTATGAAAACTTCCATCTGCAGAATCAATGAAGGCGATAGTGCCCAGTGACAGTAAATGATGTTTCTTGAACTACTTTTCTTCTAATTCCAGTACTGAAGGACGACATGTGGACTAAAACCACAACGGGATGTAACTGTTATTTTGACACGACTGATGACTCATGCGCGTGTTGTGAACCAGGTGGTGCCCAGTGCCCCAAGAGTAACAAACATCAATGCGTCAAGTCTGGACAGAATGGAGATTGTGGAGAAGGTATGTCTTTTTTATAGATTATTAATTTCTTTCATCATATAAATATTTTCATACATAATAGCTTGCCAATCGCTGGCATTATGGGCTAAGCTGAACAACATATAAAGTACAAATGTAAATGTATGCAACAGGGAAGCATAAGGGCAAGATATGTAAAAAGGTGGGAAATTTGAGGTATGTCTCGTTTAAATATTGACATTATTTGTATTTGTATATTTATTCAACAACCAATTTGGTGACAATACTTTCCTTTTTACAACATATTTACATTACAAAAGACAGAGTAATAAAAAGTATTATTTACACAATGGTACATTTATCTATTGACTTAATTTAATTTAGTTCCTTCAATTTTACATTTTAACATTCTGATAATCAGTCCAGTTAAAATTGATATAAAGGTAAGCTGTACGTATGTTTTAGAGGAACAAGAGCTTAATTTAACAATGTTAAGTAAAGTATCCGTTATTGCATTTAAGTCGAACTGCCGGAAGAGGACGCAGTAAATCACTGGACGAAGGATATTGAAGTAGATACATGTCCATGTGATTATGACGCATCAAAACAATGTGCATGTTGTAAGGACTACGGTATCCAATGTGGGGCCCTTAAACACGACCAATGCGTTGCTCCAGGTAAACTATTTTAGATGATATAGAGTTTTAAGTTTCGCTGTAAAATATACTCTTGCTTATTGTAGCTTGTATCGAAAAGGAAGGAAAATAATGCTTTATTTCGAATATTTTTCACGCACTGTCTGTTTGGGTTTCATCAACGCTTTGCATCATGTTATTCAGAAAATAAATGATATATTCAGTATCAGTATCGCTGTTCTTTAGTATTATTTGCAATAAGTCTACACAAATAAATCGATGTTTATTCAGTCGTGTATGTTAAATAACATATGTAGTGATTTATATGAAATCCAACTGTTGATCATGAGTTTAAACACAGAATGAAATCGGTATTTCACATATATATATCGTTCAGAAATTTATAGTTCAAGAAGAATTATAGTCACGCAGTTCGCATTATACATACAGTGATTCATATAGTTCAGTCGTTTATAGTTCGTGTGTACATGCATACAGTTTTTCCGTTCGTATTTCTCATACTTAATCATGAATTATTTTAATTATGCGCATGCGTGGTCCAAGTGTGTGAGTTTTAAACACAGAATCCTGTCGTTCGTATTCCTCATATGTATAGTAGTGTTCTTTCGTAATTCGCATGTGTATGATTATAGTTTAATCATTAGTATATCACGTACGTTTATGCCTAATCCAAAAGGCTTATACGCGATATTTCAGAATGACAACAATATTCTTACCTCCCCCGTTGAAGAGCTCTAATTCCAGGTACCGATGTTTTACATCTGGGCTTTTTCCCCATATACCGGGTTCGATTTTGATCACATCATTTCAGCTTCATTGGACATTCTTATTCAAGTATATTTGCACAATCGATAAAAAATGTGTCCACTGTCTCAATTGTGAGGGTTGTAGCTTGATATTAGTATAACGTTTGTCATTCTGACAATACGCAAAAACGTGACATGGTTTTAAGGTTGGGAAAATTTGGTTTAATCAACGGACCAATGGAAATGTGTCCCACTTGAAGCGATGCATTGCGGGAGATATTTATGTTAATGACCATGTTTTCGTCTCTCGCGTACTATAAGTCTATTGTGTCTTTACAAACGGTCTCGCCATTCATATTTCACATTTTTGTAATTGCCCATATTCTCCCCAGGTTCTATTCTGACTGATGTCTGTGGAAAGGATCCCAAGTTCAGCGACCCTACTCCAGAGGAAAAAGAAGAACAGGAGAAAACATGCACTCCCGTGGTCTGTCCTGCTAAATAAATAAGTGCCAGAATACATTTTCTTGACAATGCAGCTGATATGAATCTAACATTGTATCACTTAATTAAATAACTTACAAGAACATTGATGACTCAGCCTAGCACTGAATGCTGCTAATAAATTTATTGTCGGGCCTTTGGATTTCAAGGAGAAGAGAACATCGAATTTTGATATTACATCTTGAAAACTAGTCATTAAAAAAATGGAACGTTCTTTAGTCAGAGGAAAACTCATTTTAACCTAAACGATTCTAACCACCTTAAAATCTAAAGGTCCAGTATATTTATTCATTTTATAGACGTTTTCTAATGATTTCAAGGAGAGAAGCAATGTGTCATTTAATTTATCCGACCAAATGTTGAAGGAACTCAAAGCCTCTGCTAAAGAAAATATGTGTTTTAATGTGCACTTATTGCATAAAGTCTATGGTTGTTCGAAACTTATCCATGTTATCTCATTGGATGGGGTACTTTTGAGGAAAGGCGTCAATGAGCTCATATAGTTGATCCATGGCTTTGTTAAAATTGAAGTATATGACCATACTTCCTCTGACGGCCTTGGATTTAGTGTGCATATTTTCTTTAGTATGGCTCTGAAATGTGAAGACCACGTGATGAAGCTCGCTTGTGATTATGTATAGTTCTTATTTCCTGGAGTATTAGAGAGTACCGATGTACCGCGGCCGAAGATTGCCGAAGATATTTCAAGTAACTAGGTTTCTTTAAGGGCTAGTGTTGGAAGCATTTTCGGCCATTATCAGTTTCGATGCAAAAAATTTTACTCTGTAATAACCGTCACCATAAACACTTTATGGAGTATGGTCGAAAAAAAGTAATGCACAAGATATGGTTTGGGTCTACGGGGTAGGTATGAAGTACACTCCGTATTGAATCACCTCATGACCGTGTAGTTGTTTACAGTGAGTACTGAATAAACGTATGAAGCTAACACGTTAGTTTATGTTAATTTAATGAACACGCCCTTTGAGACGTATGGAAATATATAGGTATATTCAAAAGTATATCAATAGCGAAGATAAACCACTAAATATTTTCAAACATCTTTCGCATGGTCTAGTAGCCAAAACATGTACGTTTTCTCCCTGATACAAAGTTTTTAGTGAAGTATTGTATTTTATAGCTTTAATTCTAAACCACATGATCAATTTAACCTCATAATAGTTCGATGGTAGCCTTCAACCTTACAAAAACTATCCGGCATATCTAAGTTCACAATCTTTAGGTAGCCAAAGAGAAAAAGTCAAACCTAGTGAATAGGAAGGCCCTCAAAATGTCTTTATAGTGAGAGATCAGACGTTCAAGAAACTGCATTAATGAGAATTCTCATGTGGCCCTTGTTGTCTGTGTAAAGGGGCTGATTATTCAAAACTACTGCGTTCTCATATGGTATCCAAGCTAGCCTGCGTAATTTGGAATGTATAACTCCCTTAATCATTTGACAATAGTTAACCTGGTTCTCTGTAATTGTTCTGCCATCGTCATCCCCAAGCGTCTTTCTCTGGGGCTATTTGAAGGACTATGCTTATGATTATCCCAAGCCAAAAGACTAAAAACAACTAAAAGCCAAAATTGGAGTGATATTAAAAGAATTCTATCGTTATATTTTCAAATGTGATGAGCAATGTAACAGTAAGGATTCAGTTGTCATCGAAATATTAAATAATAAAAATTAAGCCTTCAAAACATCAAAAATACAAGACTGAACTAAAAACTATGTATTTGGAAGAAAACTTACATGCTTTAGCTACATGACTTTGCAGAAATTGTCTGAAATATTAACTGGTTTTTATCTATGGTTTTGATATGCCTTTGGGTACATTTTGAGACACCCTGTAAGCATGTGATTAGACAAAATTGTTTACAACAGTCATAAAAGACAGAGCACCCAGTCCCAAACGATATGGGACAGACGAACCCCAGTCCCGAAGTCCTCGGCCAATCCAAAGGGCTAACATCCATCAGCAAAGCAGTCGCTGTAATCCATAAAAGACAATAATTTACAATGGTCACCAGGAGAAAACTTTTACTGGTTTCGATTCTTATTTATCTACTATAAATGCCATACCCGGGATCGACCTGAAAGGTACCAAGTGAAAAAAATTGTGAATTCATTGCCAATTTCTTGAACAAATTTTTACATCCTTCAGCATTTCAAGAAGTAAAATTTGAGTTTTTGAAATTAATTACTTGTATTTTCAGCAAAACCAAGAATGTATTCTTAAGATTTTTACAAGTATAAACTTGACCTGAAACATGGTTTCTTGATTTAAAATCTATGTATGTTCGACATGCCCTGTTCTTTACAGCTATCTAAAAAGCCTGGGTACGTAAATTCCCTATGGTGCATCCTGTTAATATATCCAACTGTGGAAAATTAAAAATGTTAAAAATAAAGTCATCTCTTTTGTAATATAACCTAGTGTATACTATTGTCTTAGTTCAATGTTAATAAAAAGACCAAGATACTGTGTACTCATATCAGGTTTTATCAGTCTTTTTCAATTCTAGCTTAGCAGATTATTTCTCACCTACAAAGTCTTTAAATTTAGGATTGTCTTAACTTAACAGCTCATTAATATATCTATCTGTCCTTATAAATAACTTTGCAATATGGGATTACGATATATCTTTCATCATCCTTTGTGAAAATATTCATACGAGAATAGAAAAAATCTGCTAAAATGGGAGCACAATCTATACAATTTAGTAAACCTTCACTCTGACGTAAAACAGTATTTTCAAACTTGACAAATATATTAGAAAGTCTAAAACCTCACAAAGGTGAAATAAATAGACTTACGTATATCATATGGTAGAGATTAAAAGATCGAGTGGATTGGATTCATGTAAAAGGTGGATTGGATCGGGAATCTTCAAAATGTGGAATTCTTATAAAAAAAATTCTGTTGATCTCCTTCTAAACAATTTTCCTCTACAGTATTACCTAATTACAGGTCCCTTTTGAGAAATCAGAACAAAGTAATGACAAATACATACTCCAATTAGTTCATGGACACTCTTAAGTATTTAACTGCTTTCCCTTGTAAATCATTTTTTGTAAGACATAGATCTTTAGAAAAAGAAAACTTGTCATTCAAATTGATGTGTGAATGTTCACAAATCATCTCACCTTTGCAACCCTGGTATGTTCAGTTTGGATTGAAAACAGGTGATATGGATCTTCAAACCAGTCTGCCTTATGATTTATGAAATGTCTCAAATTACACTTGGAATGAATAAGATCGTGTATCAGAAAGCGGGTACCAGGTCATCCTTCTAGCCCACCCAAGCAAAATAATATTACATCTATTATTTGACAATGTGCAAGTGAAGAGAGCACCAATCTTCTTAGAGGGAGATCAATATAATTTTTAAAGGAAAATCCATATTTTGAAGATAGCCAATCCAATCCACCTTTTACATGAATCCAATCTATTCGATCCAATCCACCTTTCAATATTTACCTATCATATTGCTCACTAGAAAAGAAAGCCATTTTTGAATCACAGTTTACTTATTGAGACTTACTGACCGTCATTGTCTCTTTAATGATTCCGAAATATTTTCTCTTACAACTTATCATTAGGAATTGATGTTTAAAGTGTACATGTAGATAAACCCAACGTTGAAATACATTTAATCAAATAATATTGCCATTGCATTAAAAGTTGCATTTACAGTTTATATTTTAGATATAAATCATAGTTACTGCTTTAACATTCGGATGATTAACCTTCATGCGATAATATTTGTTGCTTATAGTTTCCATGTGGTACGTACTGGCCGAGTATGACGATTCCTAATGCAGGAATACGATTAGCATTGCTTTTTTAGAATCTCTGTTGGTTGACAAAATGATACAAGTGAATATATACAATCGGTTAGTATGGTAAATATTATTAGCTAGAGCAATAGGGAAAATATGTTTAAAAACGTGGCAAGAAAAATATCAAAAAGTACACCTGTCATAAAACTAGAAAACAGCAACACCACTGAGTGTAGATTATCCCACCAAACTAAACACGTTTTGATAAAAAAAAGTGGTCATCTTGAGAAAAAATTGAACAAACCTCCTTTGTCTCTTGAAATCAGCATATACAGGGTGACCCAAAAAATGCAACCCTCCGTTTCTTCAATATTTTTCTTAAATGGAGGTTAATTGCTCTGAAATTTGGCACACAAAGACTTCATTCAATGTGGGATCCTCTGGCAAAGTTTCAATAATCATAGTCTTATATTGATAGAGTTATGTTCGTTCCAAAATATGCTCCAAATGTCGTCCATTTCCAATGTTAGGTTTTCGGATGAATCACATTCCCTTCTTTCTGAACATGTAAACTCAAGAAATAATGTGTTCTGGGATCACAAATTCTAGATTAAGTGCTTCAAAGGCCCTTTCATTCTGTTAAATGCACAGCTTGGGCTGCCAATTTCCAAACATGAAATCATCAGCCCCTTTTGTTTTGAGGTTGATAATGGCAACACTGTTACTGTTAACACACAGCGCAATATTGGCGTTCCCAGGAGGTTCTAGGCAGTTCTAGAGTGGCATAGGGGCTTCAATAGACAAGAACAGTGGTTCTAGAAGGATGGAGCTACTCCTCACTTCTAATGATAGCAATTAGTCTGGCTCACTAGTCATTTCTATGAGAAGATTATCTCTCCTAGGACGGAGAACCCATGGTCATCCCACAGTCTTGATCTCAATGCCCCTGAATTCTATATATGGGGTTATTTAAAGGATAATGTGTATGAAAATAACCCTACCGCAATTGCAGAACCCCAACAAGCAATGGCTGCAAAATTTGAGCCATACCCATGGGAAGAATGTATCCGTGTTATGAACTGTTTTCCTTGAACATTGCAAATTTGTTTTCAGCGAAATTGATGACATCTGGAGCATATTTTGAAACGACCATAACTCTATCAATATAAGACTATGATTATTAAAACTTTCCCAGAGGATCCCACATTGCATGAAGTCCTTGTGTCCCAAATCTCAGAGCAATTTACCTCCATTTAAGAAAAATATAGAAGAAATGGAGGGTTGCATTATTTTGGGGTCACCCTGTAATATAAAATTTCAACGAAATCTGTCAACTGGTATGAGTTATAAACTATTAAATTCTTTATGAAAAATAGTGGCCATTTTGAAATTCAGCTGTCATCTCGACAATATTCTTCTACTCACTCGATAAAATACCTGTGCTGGCTTGAAATGTCTGTGGTCCTAGCCAAGACAAAGATATCAGTTCCTGTTAGAATAGTACGGGGAGCTGTTTTACCTTAAGATATCAAGCTACATTATCCTACCAAACACATATGTCCTATGGTGTCTGTGTGAGATAATTGTAACTCAAATGAAAAAATGAAAACATTAAAATAGAACTCATGCTAACTCTAGGCATCATCGTATAATTTGAACCCAATCAGTCGATTGGTATTGGAGTATCAAAGAATGCATTTTCTGAATAGATTCGGCCATTTCAAAAGTCAATTTCAATCTTGGAAATCAAGAAACAGAGCTTCTGTTTCCCCAGGCATCGACATTTACAAGTTCAACTATATCCGTCCACTGGTACTTAATTTATCAAAGGTTACGCCTTTACAAAAAATGGTACCAATTTTGAAATTCAGTGGCCATTTTAAAAAGCTCGTGTTGATCAAAGCTCTTTTGTTCATAGGCATCAGCATATATTCTTTAATATGCAAAATAAAAACACTGTAAATACCATTATGTGGCACTTAATTCTAATTCCTGCGGAGTCATAGCCACTTTAAACTAAATATACAGTATGTTACATCGATTTTAATATATAAAAAATGGTCAATTCCTTCTCGAGCAGGGGTCCTAGACTCATATGATATACATGTACAGTAAGTCTAGGCTATAGCATTTCAATCAAATCCGTCAACCAATTTTATCGTCCGGAGTTATCGTCCGGAAAAACGAACGGGCGGCTTCTCTGTCCGAGGCCATAACACCAGGACATCTATATTTAATTATTTTGTTTAGCCAAGAAAATAACAGTATACGATCACAACCCTACTGGAATCATTAATATAACATGTTGAAAAATAGATTTAAAATCGATAATTGATACTTAAAACAACAAATATAGTTGTAGATACTATTCATACAAGATAGATTATTCATTGTAAAATGATTCGGGACGGATAAAATCCAATCCGAAGTCCATATGAGCAGATCAAACGATCAACATCTATTCGCAGTCATAGCCATAATCCATAAATCCATAAAGCACAATGTGTTACAGTCGTTATCAGGAGAAACATATGGCTGGTTTTTATCCCTATTTCACAACCAGTCATGCCATAGCCGAGATTCACTACAGAGCGCTGGGTGAAAAAATCAGAGCCTTTCTTGAATATTTCCGACATTCCTAAACATACCAAGTGACCAATCTCGAAACTAAAGATTAATGACTTGTATTCTTCACGAAAGCCAAGAAAATAGTTCTTATCATGATCACAAAAATAGTATCAGGATGCCATTCTATATCGAATGAGCTGGGTTATGTAGACCTAGTATGCTGGGTTCAATGGAATACTGCTTTCCAAATGTGGCAAATTTACAATATCAAATTGACATCGTCTGTTCTATCATACTTAAAATATGCGATGCTGTCTAGTTCAAGGCGAACTATATGAGGTCATATATCATAAAAAGGAAGATCATATGTCTTTAATGTACACACCTGAATGCCATATATTTATCACGTAATTGTTTGTCCATTTATCTTTTGGATAGCTTCCAGGTTTTCTAATCCTTTAGCGGGTATTGTAATTGGCATCTTTTCAATTTATATGAATGCATGGTTGACCCCAGTTTCACCAGTGTACTTTATAAAGACATTCAGTTCAGTATTTAAGACAGTCCACAACACGTGGAAATTTCAACATTTTACAACAGTTTTACAGCAGTTTTACTTCATTTTAATACAATGGCTGAGAGTAAATCGGACATTCTTGAAGCAGGCAGGAAGTGCAGTAAGTGTAGGGGCCTTATAAGACATCATATTGGCCCTCATGGAACTAAATGTGACTTTGAAATTCAAAAAGAATATCGAGATCAGGACGTTGAAGTCGATGTTACCAATGAGATTCTAGAATTAAAGAATCTCATGGAACGTATGATGATAAGTAGTTTATTCCAAATGGAATAAACTTCAAATAGCAAACGTTGTTCAATAAAAATTTCTAAAAAGCACATAGTAAAATTGCATTTAAAAGGTTGTAAATTAATATAAGGAGGTATGATATATATCTATATTTTGTCAGATAAATCTAACGGGGGAACAATTGTAAGAAAAAAATTACACCTTACAGTATCTTATATGAAACATCACGTGATTATTCTATTATCCAATGGAAATGGAAAAGTTGGCATAACCACAGGAGGTGAAGCATAGGCTTTCTCTGTTTTTCTATAGTAAATCATTACAATGGTGCGCCATAACGCCCGGTAATTTGTAATTTCATTCAAAAGCATCAGTTGAGGCAATAATACGTCAAATATATCTTTCGATCTGTTTTGTTTGTATGATTAAGGGCTAATTTATCAAAAAATAGTCATTGTTTCTGTAGTTGTGAATGTTGACACAAACACATCCGGTTGGTATATATCGTTACAGCATTGTAATTTTATTTGCGTACATGTCAATGTCCCAAAATATGATGATGTCTTCCGCCGTTTATTCCTATATAATCATCCCCCTTTATGTCAACTTTACGCTGTTCGACACAATGCAGAGTAGAAGCATCTTAACAGCGGCTCTAGCCATAGCGCTGGTAGTACTAGGTAAGTAAGCATAGTTTTACATAGTCATTTGTGAATATTACTACATTATATACATTATTTGGCTATTCATAATCTTCTTAAAATTTACCGATCTTTGGCTGTGTTTGGAGCTTGAATTTCAAACAATGTGCTTTTCATATTTTTAGTAAACTGCATTTACCGTTTTTGTGCTTGTTATTTGTTGAATCAGACAGGAAGTACCGCAATGTCTCTGTACACGAGTGGGATTCAAATGAACACATATCATCCGTAATTAGAATATAGAGTATCTTTCCATGCGTTTGAAATGGAAAAATGTTTAGCAAACCATTTGGTTTATCATTATGTTTATTGATTAAAGATCAAAATGTCTAACGAAATCGAAGTGACCAAATATATACACATATTCATGGTGTAAGCATTTCGAAAAATGTTTCATTAGGCAAAGAACTATATGGGAGACCCTCTAAAAATAAACGGTATGAGTTTGTTAGAATCGAATAATGAAATAGTTTGAGAAAATATATATTCCGTGTATGTCGGCATTTATATGGTTTAAAGTAAACAAAATGCGCATGATATGATTACGATTGATGCCATGGAAATAAGGAAAATATTTTTGGATCTTGACTGGCACTTTTTTTACAAGACCTTCATGGAGACTCTACAGATACAATACTTTGGCTACATTGATTGGTTTCTCTGTTGTCATTTTTAACAACTCACCCATGTTAGCAAAATTATGAATGCGTGTTTATCAAGTGTTCTCAACATATATTTGCCAAATTATAGATAAGAACGATAGGAGTTTTATAATGAGGACGAATCATTGCATACTGTCAAGAAACACACTGCCTTCAATCTTCAAAAATGCCAACACGATTGCGTTATGTTCATGAAATCATTTGCATCAGTGTTGCGACCGCATTTATAAAATGCAACAAGTCGAATAAGAATGATCATTTTATGAAAGACAACAAAAATAATGTATGATTATAATATAGATATATCAACTACAAGTTTCCCTTATTACAATATAATCATTAAATAAGTTATTTCCGTTGGGAGTTCATTTACTCGTAGTAAATAAAACAACGTTGTAAGACAGACCGTCTGATTAAACTTGCTGTCCAAAATTAACCTACAACAATACACCAAAACCGGTGACCGTAGCTTCCCAAAATGGAGAGAAATGTGTGGCATTAAATATAGGGATTTTGTGAAGCAACGGCCGCCGTATGCCCACCATAGAGCAAATGTGACAGAGGCTTAAGTATTTACATTATAAATGTTGATGTATTATAGTTTCAGAGAGTTATGCCCAAAGGGGTAGGAAAGGTGGGTACAATGTATCTATCGTGTCTTGCTTCACATTACATGCTTCGATATGTATGCTTAAGTATTGATAATATAAATGTTGATGTATTATAGTTTCAGAGAGTTACGCCCATAGGGGTAGGAAAGGTGGGTACAATGTATCTATCGTGTTTCGCTTCACATTACATGCTTCGATATGTATGCTTAAGTATTGATAATATAAATGTTGATGTATTACAGTTTCTAAGAGTTATGTCCAAAGGAGTAGGAAAGGTGGGTACAATACATCTATCATGTTTTGCTTCACATTACATGTTTCGATATGTATGCTTGTATTTACATTATAAATGTTGGTGTCTTATAGTTTCAGAGAGTTACGCCCATAGGGTCGGGGGTGGTAATTACGGGAATTGTATGAAGAGTTGCAGGGGCGCATTTAGACCCTGTAAAATAAAATGCAAAAATGCACCACCCCCAATTCCGCCCACACCTCGTCCACCCCCTCCACCGCCTCCACCGCCTCAACGACCCCCAATTCAGGTCCCACCTCGTCCGGCCGTTCCGCAGCCTCAACCACCTGTTTTAGGGAGAAGTGAGTAAACATTTGGATAGCATGTGTCATTATATACGATTATTTAGAGCTTATAAAAAATCAAAAAGGCCTTGGTCAACATTTAACGTCCTGTATAAGAACCTATTTACTTTCCAATGGATTCTGCAAATAATCTCCCACGTGACTCTGCCGGCTGAGACTCACCTATCACTTGAGTTCTTCTGAGATGATAGTTATTTTGTATCTTATCGACATAGTTAAGTCAATGATTATATACAGCGTGGGCCAAAAAAACATGCCATGTATTATATATCATTTTAAAGATAAATCATTTCCTTAAAAAAAACGACACCATCCAATTGAAAAGCTTTTGTTTTCTGATGGAATTGGAGGCTAAAATTTGCACAAGGGGTGCCGTGAGTGACAAAAAATAAAGAAAATAAAAATTCCCAACATATTACAGTCACAGCTGCACTTAATATGCTTGACTGAATCATCATACATTTATCTAAGAGTTTGATAATTAAATAAAACTATATGAGTATTATTGCTGAATTTTGCACTATAATTGTATAAATGTACCTCTTTTGACGGTGCCAAAGTCAAATTTCCCTCCATTTTTCACAATTTGGAAATCCTTAGTGAATAATGTTTTGGTCGCTCATGACACCCCTGGTGTCAATTTTAGCCTCTTGCTCCACAATAAAACAACGGTTTTTCAATCAGATGGTTTCATATTGTTAGATAATGATTTAAGTTTTAAATGATATACAATAAATACCATGGTTTAACGTTATATGATATGATATTCATCCTTTGACTTGGCTATTGTTTTTTGGCTCACTCTGCATATATATACATGTTTTATTTCCATAGTAAAATATGATCATTGCATACACATGTTGCGGCTTTGCAATAGAACATTATAAGCCAGAATTGAATAATAATAAGATTGAAAAAGAAAGTATGACATTGAATTTGCAATAAGCAAACGAATTGAAATACCTACGCTTGTATACATTTTGATACAAATATGAGGCTAGCTTTAAAATGTCAATATTAATTCTTTGGCAAATTCTGTCTCCACTCAAAAATAGTCATAATTTGTCTTGCTGGTTTTTTTAATTTGGAGTAATTAAAATGTAGATCAGTAAGTATATCCTCTAAATCTTGAAGATAATGTGATCTTTCAGTTCGGGTGAGATAGACTCTCAGTCAATCATGGATTTAGAGAAACGATGTAGGAGAATGTCGAGGTTTTGAATGAAATTTGGTTGTCACAACTTCCTTGATTATATTCATTAGTAATACGTCATTAGTCAATGGTGTATCTATTCATGTTATGTCAATGTTACCCTTGCTGAAATCCTCATTTTCTGTATAAATTTTTAAAAGTTAACGAATCTCTACAAGCATATTAATAAAGGATAGTATTGCTAGAATCCATTTCAATAGTAAGAATATGGGTTTTTGAACAGGACATTGTCATTTGACTCTAATTATAATGAGTTCTTTAAATCTTAATGATATGGACAAAAATGAGAAAACCCTAAAGAATCTCAGATTCAATACAAGCATTTATGTCAATATCTATACTTGTGCTCTCACAACATAGAATGTAGATGGAGTCCGTATGATCGACCGAGATTAGGTCAATGTTCTGCAAGTTGCGGAGGTGGTACACAAAGAGTGACACTTATAAGGTACAGGTTATATGGTATGGCAGAAACAGGGGATCCAGAATGCCTCGGTTCGGATAGAGTTGTTAGAACCCAATCATGTAATAATTGGCCGTGTCCCCCGCCCCCAACGCCGCCGCCGCCGCCGCCAAAATGTGAGTTACTAGTTAAATTAAATGTATGAATCACAAATATAACGATTAATTTGGCCATAACGTAATTGTTTTAACATTCTTGTTTATCCTAGCGAAAAACAGATGAGATTCTACAATCGGAAAAACATTAATTTCACAAAAAATATTTTTTTCTTCTTTTCACAACCTTTATTTTACTAAACAGGACGTTTCGGATCCGGTCTGGATCCTTTTTCAACTGTACAAAAACTGAGCTGAAGCGCTACAAGACAATAAGATAAAAACAATATTACGTCATATTAATTCACCAAAAATGCATTCCAAATTCCCGCCAATTTATAGTTCCCTTAATCCCTGTTGATATTATTAACGTTTTTCTTTATAAAAATAGAATCTTTAATCCATCTTTCAAGTCTCTTATTGTCATTGTCCAAAACCGTAGTATTATTCAAGTCCATTACGCACATTTTTCTGGAGGACGTGGTCCGTAATGGCTTATTTATTCATCACCCCTCTCATATTTTCTTTTGCTTGGCGCGTGTAACGTGAATTGTCCCTCGAATCTGCTTCTATCTTATGTTCTTTAATTCTAATTTTCAAGGCTCTTGTTGCTATAAATTGGCGGAAATTTGGAATTATTTTTTGGTGAATTAATATAAAAAACAATATTAATTGTTTTGTATCGCTTCAGTTCAGTTTTATATACAGTTGAAAAAGGATCAAGACCGGATCCGAAACGTCCTGTTTAGTAAAATAAAGGTTGTGAAAAGAAGAAAAAAAATATTTTTGTGATTTGATAATCCAACCTGAAGAACATGTTTAAGGACATTTATTTCATTATTGTTTCGACGAGAGAGTAGAACCAAATCATGTAACATTCAGCTATGTCGAACAAATGAGAAAAAAGCTAGATATACCACTGATACAATGAATTCAGTATAACCCAAATAGTCTAATAACAATTAATATGAAATTAATTAGTTTTATATGTGTTTTATGGGAGTTGGTCATTTCTTAAAAAAGCTAACCCTACATCTGGGGTATGATTAGATGTAAACAAACGTTGGTTTCCAGGAAGTTAAATGTAGGTCAATGCACTGCACATGTGCAGAACTCATTACCCATCAATTTTTCTTACAAGCTAGAAGGTCAGTGTACAATCTGATTGAATCCTGTAAGTATTTGCCAGCTAATCCCGCTAAAACCACCCATGAATTATCCCAAACTAAGGTGAGATCAAGAAAATGGTAAGATATATTGTTAGTGATACATTAAGGTAAGCAACTAGAGTAATCACTATTATATTAGTCAGATGCACTGTTTATGTTTTTGAGAGATAATATACGCTAATCAAAACAAAATTAAATGTGTAACAGAAATGACTACTCCCTAAAAATAACACATGGACAAAAATAGAGATAAAAGATTCTTTATAACAATAACAGATTGATGAATAAAAGAATATATACCAGTGCTTATATTAAGATTTATACACTATTGTTTCAACACAGGGTGTAGATGGAGTAACTATGGCCCAGCAACATTAGGTCCATGTTCTGCAACTTGTGGAGTTGGCGTATTAACTGTTACACGTTCTAGGACCCCGATAGGGGGTCGAATTGGGGATAGAGATTGCTATGGTTCGAGCACTGATGTGAGAACACAGACATGTAACATGCAGCCGTGTCGGCCCGTAATCATCCAACAACCACAACCCGTTCCGCAGCCTATAGTCATTCCGCAGCCAATCCCAGTTGTCCCGCATCCAATCCCAGTTGTCCCGCATCCAATCCCAGTTTTCCCGCAGCCAATTCCAGTTTTCCCGCAGCCAGTTCCAGTTGTCCCGCAGCCAATTCCAGTTGTCCCTCGTCCAAGTAAGGAACTAGTTGTTGTACACATATTCATAATAATTTGACGAAAATCATCTTTAGGTGGGTGTTACATAAATGGTGTCACAAAATATTGTTGAAGACGAGAACATACTATTTTCAGAAATAACCGAATAAGCCAAAAGATTCATAGTGGTCATTAGTGTGGAATCGACACACACGTTGCTACTTTAAACACCCATATTTGTGTTCCTCGTCGACCTTTTTTCATGATTTTTCTCATTTCCACATGGGATGCAAATGGATTTTTAGGAAGTTGTAAGCCTCAAAATCGCAGGTGGGTGCTGCGCCCACTTGGTTTATTTAGCATCTTGGTAGTCTTCGGTAATTAAACAATATAATAGATCTTTATAGCCGCCAACATTCTCCCCCAATCATACTCATAGGCCTCGTTGGCTTTATAGTGAACATAGTTGTGTCGGTGCTTCAGCAATTTATACATAATGACATAGTTCGAAAATTAAAGTTCGGATAATTTTTTAAATGTTAATCTTAATCTTATTCTATTTTCATCATAAGGCAAGTTTTGTATACATATTTAAGAATGTATGTATAATACAGGTAAATAGTCGATTACATTTTTTACCAGTTACATGTATCTCCGACATATTCCAGTATTTAAGTATGGCGTACTCTTTAATATTCGTTTTCTATATAATATTAAGAATACTGTTGATATTGTATTCTATTATTTCCAACAATATATATTATTATACAAATAGTGGGAAGCCTGCGGCTTCGGGAATAGTAAATTGTAGAGGATATTCCCTCGGCGAAATAATTTACACTATTGCTCGAAATTAGGCAGTCACTATTTGTTTTATTATATACCCTATACTGACTCTTGTCCTGTTTCCTCTGCGAAGGCCAAAAAGGCTTAGAAAGCCCCCTCCCCGGGTCCATTGTTAGCATTATAAGCTGTGACGTCATCAGATGCTCAACAGAAATGTTTGCCTCTGAGACTCTCACTTGAGAAATTCAAGCGCGTTTAACACGCGGAATAGATTATCATGACACTTGAAATTACACAGACGTATTGAGCTTAGGCAACTTTATACACGTTGCTTATACTGTATCGTTCACGCACGCCTGTCATGGTGAACGGAGTTGATTTGTGTTTGTGCTCATCCTCCATTTTTCTGTTTTTAGTCTGCGCAGTGATGATGCGCAGACGTTTCCAAGGGTAATAGAAGTTGCAATCGTGACGTCAGCGGGCAATAGTTCAAATGTATATTCCCGCTGACGTAACATTTGAGGGAATATAACTTTCCGAGGGAAATAGTAAATCTATTTCGGAACACGTGACTAGGTATTGACCAATCAGGATTAGTGTTACATATTGGGTATATAATAATGTCTTTTAAGATTGTCAGTGGGGACAGTGGACGAGATGGGTACAAATGGAACAATGTGTTTGGAATGGATCTCCTCCCACTCAACAATGCCCTAGACCTGGAGTTGCGAGGAGTCAAAGATCACGTCGGTGCTATTGTAATGGGAGGGAAGCAGATCCTCGATTGTGTGGTGGTTCTCCAACACAACAGCACTCGATACCTTGCTGCGTCGATCGCACTCTACCTCCCCGTAAGTAGACATCCTGCGTGTAAGTGTCACCCTAACATATGCATGGTCTTAGAAAATATTGACTATATATTCTGTTTTGAATAATCAAACCCCTACACTCCAGTTTCCCTTCAAGCGCATCTTCTTTACAAGTGTCTTTAAAATGGTTCTACGAGGTTCTCTTAGCTAAATGTGTTTAGTTTAAAATGATTGTATCACATGCTGTTGTGAACAAACCCTCGCTCTTCAGTCTCCCGTCATGCACATCTTCTTTAAAAGTGTCTTTAAAATGGTTCTACGAGGTTCTCTTAGCTAAATGTGTTTAGTTTAAAATGATTGTATCACATGCTGTTGTGAACAAACCCTCATTCTTCAGTTTCCCGTCATACGCATCTTCTTTACAAGTGTCTTTAAAATGGTTCTACGAGGTTCTCTTAGCTAAATGTGTTTAGTTTAAAATGATTGTATCACATGCTGTTGTGAACAAACCCTCGCTCTTCAGTCTCCCGTCATGCGCATCTTCTTTAAAAGTGTCTTTAAAATGGTTTTACGAGGTTCTCTTAGCTAAATGTGTTTAGTTTAAAATGATTGTATCACATGCTGTTGTGAACAAACCCTCACTCTTCAGTCTCCCGTCATGCGCATCTTCTTTACAAGTGTCTTTAAAATGGTTCTACGTGGTTATCTTAGCTAAATGTGTTAAGTTTAAAATTTTTGTATCTCATGCTGTTATCAACTGTTATGCTGTTATCTTAGCTAACTGGGTAAAGTTTTGCATTTTCTATCAACTGTGCTCTCACCACTTTTATAGCAAGCTATAGCTATATATGGTATAAACAATGTGGACATTGAATAATGAACGTGAATATTTTCGAAAACGATCTCACCTACTACAATGGGTTGTATTCAATGTTCCGTTCAAATATCACAATATAAGTTATCTCATCAGCAATGGTATCAGTAATTGTAAATTGAGTTCGGTTTTAAGTAGTGGCACCGGGATGGAGACTATGGCATTATTTTTGCTTCTTTATTCATTAAATTCAAATATATTCGATATATGAAACATTTATATTCGCTAAATCATTTTTCCATTCAGTAAAAACGTTTATATGTTTGTTACAGCAAATTAAGTTTTCAAAATAGCCATTCACTAAATACTATGTGCATTAAATTACATATTCTATTCGTTAAATTATATTTTTTGCGTAAATTGTTATGGTATTCCTTAAGAGTAACACATTATATGCACAATATTGAATTTCTATTTGAACCCTATCGAAATAAGTTTGCCTATATTTACCAAATGGTTTATTTTTCTATGACATAATTAATGCATTTTACCAAAAGCTAATTTGCTATTTACCGAATGCAATAAAGTAATATTCGATAACTTGCGTTGTTGTTCGATATTTTGTCACGTGACTTAGAGATTTGCAAAAGGGCCGCACAGCTATTCTACATCGTACAAATATATCACGTGACTGAAAGTCTCGTAAATTATCGAAAAATAACGAAATTTATCGAATGTGGCATTCGCTATTTACCGAATATAAATAATCTAAATACCGAATGTACAAATAATTAATTGAATTATAAGTGCGTTAAGGAAAACAAATTAATTCGCTGCATCACACAAATACATGTATACATATCAAATGTGAATGTCAATACAAAGAACAAGTGAAACTATTTAGCGAATATAAATTGTATAGATTATTGCATTTGACATTCGATAGATTGGGTAAAGGTTTGGTAAATATATTATATTGGCCTCGGAATAATCTCAACCTCATATAGGATAATCTCTATTTATTCACCAGTACATACAATATATATAGCTGTGTCTTATATGAGCCACCAAAACTTATGCAGAAACTGGTGTTTGTTTACGAGCTCTAAGCTTCTAAACATATTAGAGTATGTGTATGGCTATACGTTCTCAAAATAAGTGAAAAAAGTTTTGAGTTTCACAAAAAGCTGTATATTTTTCGATCTTTTTTAATTTCTTATCAACGAAACTGAATAAACTTCTCCTCAGAATCCTTTGTGTAAAAGATGGTTTGGACAGTAATATGACTTCGTGCGACAATTCCCTACCAATACTTTTGATGGTTTGGACAGTAATATGACGTCATTCCCTACCAATACCTTATACCTTTGATGGTTTGGGCAGTAATATGACTTCATGCTATGCTATGCTATGAGCTGCTATGCTATGCTATGCTATGCTGAATTTTAAAAGTGTAATGGATAAATTAGAGGTAGTATCGTTTTCAGGAGATACTCCCAGCAAAATCAATAATACTTTAGATTTAGAACAATATACTATTGACGCATCCGGAGTTGTTTGTAAATCAAAAATTAGTTTTGAAGATTATTGGCGAAATCAATTGAATTCCGACCAATGTCGCAAACTGAATAGATACAAAATATTTAAAAGCAATTTCAGGTTCGAACCATATTTAGATTCAATTTCAAATGGGCATTTACGACGAAGTCTAACAAAGTTTCGTATCAGTAACCACAAATTAAAATAGAAACGGGTAGATACGAACGCCCAAAATTAAAGATCGGTGAAAGAATTTTTAGGCGAAACATATGCATCGCCTAGAATGGCCAGTTATATACACCAAACTTGTGAATTTAATAAATATATTATAATATTATTTACATCCAAAACGTATCGTTATTTGTCTATTGATTCACAACAAGCAGATCTAGGGAGTACCACAAATTATCTCTTATACCAGATAAGAAGTTTTGTGGGGCGAGCGTCTGTGATACATAGTATGAATATGTAATGTTTGATTGACAGTTCCTGGTAGACACTCCTATTCACCGGGGTTATACAGTGTACATGCATACCTCAGTTTTTAACTGATGCTTCGGTAGAACGCATGTCCTTCTACAATTGCCAGTATATAATTACGTATTACTTAAGTTTATACTGATTTAATAGTACACATGGACATTATATTTATTATTTAAACTAGAATTATTAATAACACTTTGGACGATTAAAAGTGCCACCCATTCCCCTCCACCACCCATCAGTTTTATACACCAAACTTGTGAATTTAATAAATTGTCAGAAATTCATATCAAATCGAGCGTAATCATATTTCTGCAAATAGCGCACCTACAGAAATTAACACTTACTTGCAAAATGAAATAAATCTTGGTCGCATGGTCGGGCCCTTTAAGACGCCGCCACCAGAATAAATAATAAATGCATAATAAGTCCATTTGGAAGAATACCGAAAAAGGAATCTGGTAAATTCAGAATTATCCATGACCTAAGTTTCCCAAACGGGATCTCAGTAAACAACGGAATAATGTCTGCATATACACCTGTAACATATCAAACTATTGGCACAGTAATCGACTTAATTCAACGTAATGGTCGAGGTTCATTAATTGCAAAAACGGACATCGAAAATAGTTTTAAGATCATTCCAATTCACAATGACGATCATCCTCTTTTAGGAATTTTATGGGAGGGTCAGTATTACTTTGATAAAACATTGCTTATGGGATGTTCTTCGTCATGTAGTATTTTTGAATCGTTTAGCACAGCAGTAGAATTTATTGCGCGGTCAAAATTTGATATCGAACATATTGCACATCTTCTTGACGATTTCATATTTGTAGGACCCTCTAATAGTATAGTTTCTAAATAGCTGAAAAGTGCTGACATAATAGATGTCACCCTTGTTTGTCTTTGATTTTCTAGGGCCAGACCTCCACTCACTCCAATGTTAGAAACTTGCAACAGTCACTTAATTTCATGATTTATCAAAGAGTGTTGGTTGAATTTGTCTGAAATTTGAATGGCATACTATTGGATGACCCTGTCAATGTACATATTGTGATTAACCATGAAAATATTGGTTGTCATACGAATAAACCAAGTTTTTAATGAATTTCAGCATTGCACCAATGGAGATTTGGCCCAAGTTTCTTTTTAAATGTCATGGAAAGTGATATAAGCGACATAACTGTTTAAATCAAAGCTATAATTGGAGAAAATTTGTCACTGAATCCAAATATGCTATCAAAAATAAAGAAAATTAATTCATTAGAGGAAAAAAGTGCAAATCTCTTAAAATCTCATGTAAAAACGAGAATTAGCGAGATTTCAAAGCCATTAGAAACTCCTCTATTCAACAAAATTCGCTGATTACCTAGCAACTTTTCTGAGACTTGCCGACAATCTAGACATTCCCATTAAGTCTTCTAAGACATGTGGTCCATCAACAATTTTGACAGTGTTTGGAATAGAAGTAGATACCAACGCATGGGAGGCTCGTTTACCTCAAGACAAATTGATAATACTTCAAAAAGACGTGAAAAAATATAGGAAATGCAAGTACATCTTGCAACATGAATTAGAATCAATATTGGGGATATTTGCATTCGCGACAAGAGTGGTACACTCCGGGCGGGTCGCACTCCGTAGACTGTATGATACACTAGGTCAATCAATTTACGGTAATGAAAACAAGAGGAATAAATTCGAGAAAATACGGCTATCAAATGAAGCGAGAGAAGATTTTAAAATTTGTTACACTTTTAATCGTCCAAAGTGTTGTTAATAATTCTAGTTCAAATAATAAATATAATGTCCATGTGTACTATTAAATCAGTATAAACTTAAGTAATACGTAATTATATACTCAGTCTGGCAATTGTAGAAGGACATGCGTTCTACCGAAGCATCAGTTAAAAACTGAGAGGTATGCATGTACACTGTATAACACCGATGAAGAGGAGTGTCTACCAGGAACTGTCAATCAAACATTACATATTCATACTATGTATCACAGACGGTCGGTCCACAAAACTTCTCAAATGCTCGATAAACTTATAATCACACGGCAATCCAATTAAACACCTTTTCAACATGGAGGACGATTCACTCTTTTCCAATATTGTATGTCTTGTGAAAATGAAAAAAATGAAATTGAAGCAGCATTTATTCATGAATGTAATATAACAAAGAAGGGTGTGATATATGACAGAAACAATGGACGCGTAACACAATCACCATTCATGTACTCATCCATGATGCTAACTTTTTGTTCATTTATTTACTTATTTATCTATTATGAAGTATTAATTGTGTTTGTATATACTAGTATACTGTTTTCTGCTGTATTGATATATTGTAAAATCAGTGTTTACTTTGTGTACACTTAACCCTTTATGGGTATGCATGTGTAATAAAGTCCATAATGCTACAATTCCCTACCAATAATAAATAATAAGAGTTAGATTCTCTGTTTTGCGTCCTGGCAAAATCCAAATCATGCAAGGATACAAGGAAAACAAATACAAACTCAAGGAAAAACACAAACTTTTTTGCTGAGAAATGTATATATTTTATGGGCATTAAAAGGGATGACATACCAATTTGCAGTGATACAAACACAGATCTATACATTTAATACAATATATTTAAATATACAATGTAGGTATTATTCAAAGGTAAAAATAAAAAAAATACACAATGTATGCCCAATTAATCAATAACACTGTCAATTTTGACGCACATCAATTTATCCGCCATTTCTTATTCTGATTGAACAAAATGCGATGTTACTTTCAAACCCTTGTGGTTGCTATTTGGATGTGTTTGTTTTTCTGATTTATTCAAAATCATGCAAGCAAGGGGATGCAAAACAAAGAATCTAATTCTTATCGCCTGACGGAATAATACTACACACCCTTTATAAGTTATGAACATACTGGGCTTATAAAGACGCTATAAGTGCATTGCAAATTATCTCTAAAATGCATGAAGTAGCATTTAGTGTCCGGTCTGTCATATATAAATACGTATACATACACCAAAGTTTATATATTGCGCAAGGCTGATGCAATTGTGAAATAATTAAACATAATCAGGCTTGAACCAAGGTTAATTTATTTACTAGCACCAGGCTGTGGCATATGGGGAGACTGGGTGGTTGTTCCTGGTAAATGCGATCCACCAGCAGGTTGTATCCCATTGGACCCAGCGGGAAGGAAACGCGAAATCGGAGATTTACGAGACAAGCGGCAGTTTGTGTGTGTCGTAACAAAGTACAAATGCGAAAAGGTCAGGCAGTGTAAACCATGTCCAGGACCACAAAGAGGTTGCGTTGGAGCCGCATCCAAAACAGAAGATCGGACATGTTGCAAAGAAGGTATCGTGGTAGAATCATTTATTATAGCTAGTCTCTTAGGTACAGGGGTTATGTTATCAAAACAGAAGATCGCGCATGTTGCAAAGCAGGTATCGCGTGGTAAAATCATTTCTTATAGCTAGTATCAGAGGTGCAAGGGTTATGTTATCAAAACAGAAGATCGCATGTTGCAAAGCAGGTATCGTGGTAGAATCATTTAGTATAGCTCGTAACAGAGGTACAAGGGTTATCAAAATTACAATGTAAGTTATTTAAAGAATATTTCATCAAAGCCCTCTGTTTAAAAAAGAATATAAGATCCACATTGTTCCTATATGTCAATTCAAATGACAGCATATGCGTTATAGATTCGTATACAAAAATACAGTATAAAATCAAAAGGCGATACCAATTACTGATGTATTGTATAATGGATTATTTGTAGGTCCAACACCACCAACAAAAGCAACAACAGCGGCAACGAAGGCAACGAAGGCAACGCCAACAACCAAAAAGACGACGCCAAAACCACCAACAAAAATATGTCCAATATTTCAATGGGGACAGTGGGTGTGTATTCCGTTGACTCCCCCGACGCCGTGTGTAACTGTTATTCCACCTCTAACACCACCGTTCGGGTGTATCGCAAAAGTTGTTCAATGCTCTCGTACCAAGACGTGTACTCCTTGTGGAGATACAGTCTGCCCTGTTATTCCAGAGGCGGAAATAAGAGGATTGACGTGCTGCTGTGAGAATTTTTCGAATACTAAATTAAACTCAAGTGATTTTATAAAACCAATGATAAACATTAAAAATAAGTTGATTAATAGCATACACATTTCACAAGTATTCAGCAGGAAAAATATTAATTAATCGTAAAAATTCATTATTTTCAGATTGTCCAACCTTTTTACAACCTTATTACATGTTTATTAAAAACAGCATTACATTGACCAACTCTAAAGAACACAGAATTTGTGAGTAGATATCAATAATCAATAACTTCATAATGTAATAATAATAATTTTTGTTTTGTTTCAGTGGTCTAACCCTAAGTAAAGAATGAACTTGACACAACACACGTCTGAACAAAAGAAACTGAACAGTGAAAGCAGAAACAATTATGATCAACATATCTTATAACAAAAACTAATTAAAGACCTAAATAAAGACCAATTCGCATTTGCTGCAAAAAGAAAAACGTTTTTTGTATAATTTATTTTAAAATTGAAACTTTCGTTAATATTTATTTCGATTTTCCTTTCTGGTACCTTGTTTACAGAAATTCATGAGAGCTCAGATTTACCACCACCCCCTCCCCATCCCGCGTTCAAGAACCAATATCATAATCCAAATCCACGAGATCAGTGATAATATACCATACAGTGAAGCAAACATTAAGAAGATCTTGACATCAATGTTGGAATGAACATGAGAACAGAAATGTAGTGCTCCGAGGGAGCCAAGGGGATTGACTTACTATCAAGCATAGTTTAACAAGCAGGACACTAGAATGCATGAAAGTCCAGAACCACAAGTCCCTGTACATTTCTCATTATATATTATATTATTATTTCCATGTCATGATACTCGTTCTCTCATTGGTCAATTATGGTGACTTAAAATATATAGATGGGCCAATTTACGATATTCCCACAAATACAAAATTCGAAAATTAAAATATTCATATGAAGATGGATTTTTCTTGAATTGTAGGGGAAACACATTATGTTTTATAAATTCGTAAGTGGCATCATTGGAACTATATTGGCATTTTGTAACCTGAGCAATTTTCAAAGAAATAAAGAATGAGCATATTTTCGTTAATCTTTCAAAAAGTCTGGCTTGATTTCAAATAATATATTATTTATCACATTAGTGTGTGTCAAACAAACAATAAATATGTTTCCTTGGATATTAGTATTGAATTGTAAAAATAAAAATAAAAATAGAGTCAACGTTATAGTTTGAAATTATTAGCCGCAAATTATTTGTAACGACCCCTATGTCAAAAGCGATAACTGTGAATTTAGACCCATTTTTTAGAATGAGGTGGATTTTGACATCCTGAAATATTCTATGTACAGCGCAAACCTAGAATCTAACCAATTAAGTGAAGAATATGGCTTTTTAAACAGGAGACTAAATTTGGTTTTCGTAGCTTTTGATTACGTCTAATCTAAAAGAGCTTTTTCGAAATGACCATCATGATTTTAAGTTACTGGGGTAATTTATTTTTCCAAATAACACGCACGCACATTTTTGTTTGAAGTCCTTCTTTATATTACTTAGGCCCTTAGTCAGGCTGTGTGTGTGGGAGCGGGGGGATTGGAGGCTCGAGCGATTTTGAACGACATTCCTTCTATATAACCTTCAAGATTTGACATTCGGTGACCTTTTCAAGGTCAAAATATCTTTTTTCAACTTGCTTCAATTGACCAATTCTTTTTTTCAAATCATCTACAAGTTATCAGAAGTTCAAATCTGACTTTAGATTGAGATTCGACCTTCTAAAGGTCAAAAAGGTCAAAAAGGTATTTCTCAACTTGTTTCAAATTGACCAATTCTTTTTTCAAAATCATCCAGAAGTTCTCAAAACTTCAAATCTGACTATAGATTTGACCTTCAATGACATTCTCAAGGTCAAAAAAATATTATTTTTTTAAAAGTCTTTTTTCAACTTGCCACAAATTGATCAATCCTTTTTTCAAAATCACCATCAGCCATCTTAAAGTTCTAAGATGTTCAACTTTGACTTTAGATTTGAGATTTCACCTTCAATGACTTTGTCAGGGTCAAAAAGGTATTTTTCAATTGACAAATTTCGGAAATTCAAATCTCGGAAATTCAAATCTGACTTAAGATTGAACAAATAATATTGTGAGCAACTAGGTGGTGACATTTCGTCATGTTAATGCCTTGTTTTTCGTCGCCCACCTTCTGAATTTTCAGGGTCGCACATGGTATTGCTTTAGCATGGAAAAAGTTTATGTATGGGCAGGGGGATGGGTTCGACCCCCCCCCTTACTAAAAGCTGGCTACGGGCATGTTGCTCATATTGCATGTGAAGTATTAATTAAACATTGCAATGGATGCAATGAATGATATCGATATAAAAGTATTCTGGCACTTACAATGACTAAGATGTACAAGCAACATTTTTCATTGGGGGTAGAGGCCAAACATTCATCATAGGGAACGACAAACGGCATTCAAAATATAATATCATGAAAACAAGCAGCGTGACCAATGGGGGAATGAGAAACATCATTCAAAGCTGTATGGTTATGTGTCGGTCATGGAAATAAAAAGAAAGCATAGCATGTTGAATAGAAATGTAAACGTTACAAGCATCGCTATTCCCACAAAGTTATAACATGCTCGCATGTGAAACAGAGAGTGAAATATATTGTTTCTTGGTTTGGCAATGACTCATTCTTTGCTGTAATTTAAATATAAACATAAAAATATGAATACAACTAACGTTTGATTGTACGTTTATATTTCACATAATTTTAAAGTCATTTTGTATCCTCCAACATATGCTCAATAAAGTTTTACAAAGATAATTCAAATGATTCAAAAATTAAATAATGATGATCTAAACACTTTTATTAAGTACTTTCATTTCTCAAATAATAATCCCAAAAAATGTTTTCCCAAAGATGATATTTTGATATTTGGAGGATACAAAATATTGGACAGCCTCATCTAGACAACTTGAATTCAGAACAGAAAAACTAACACTCAATCATATATCTCCATTGTCTGCAATCGGAGATTAGTACGGAGTGGACATTCTCGGTAACATACAGAGGATCCCACGATAAAAACGTTATATAATGATTTAAAGTGCTACGCAGGATATATTCTGCTCTCGAAGTTCTGTATTGGCACTCGACTTCGTCTAGTTCCAATATGAAATTACGCGAGCAGAATATATCCTGTATTGCACTTCAAATCATTCAATAACTTATAATATTTCTGAGAGATGTATTCACCTCGCCCTTCTGGCTGAATACACCTTCAGAAATATATACAGATATTCAACTCCACAGAATTCAATATTTGCATATTATTCCATATATAACATGTTTTACCTAGGAAATAAACTAGTAATAAAACTGATATTCAAAGAATCCCGTATCAGATCCCGTATTGGATCCCGTATCAGCCAAAATCTATATAAGATCCTGTATCAGAACAATCGGAAAATTTCATGAGACTTAATATCATTAATATGACATATTATGATCCAATTTAGTATTATAGACTATTTGTATTTTAAAGCTTGCTAATAAAAATTGAAAATGTCATTCAATAAATTTAAATTATATAATTTATCGTCAGCATCATGAGGTGACGACCTACAAAACAAGTTTCAGAAAAATATTATAGAATAAATAGGTTATTGATGGTCGTGATGGAATATGAATTTTTCCTCGATAAAATACAATACAAGGGTCGTTCGAAAAGTCTTGCACGACAACTTCTCACAAGAAGGTATTTTATTATTGCTATGTGTAATGTCAAACAGATATAGTATTACCCTTCTTACAAGGTTATTTTGAAATTTCAGGACAATAAGCAATATACTTCCTGAGATACATTGACTTAAAAATTAAAACCAATAGGCCCATGGTCCATATGACGTCATTAGATTGAACTGATTTTGTGAATGGCTTGATAGGCTGAAATTGTTCTGTTAATCTTTTTTCTTTCAGCTGTTAATCAGGTTATGTTATAACGAATATTTAATATATAATCATATTTAATTCTAAATATACAGTACTTAACATATAGTCTTCCTTTCCTGTAATGTATTATACGTGTAGTATTGTGTCCAGTCCATAAGTTAACGTCCATCCAACCTAAAGGATGTCAAGCCTTCTCATAACTACAGCCAGGCTTAATATATTTTCCCTTCTCTAATTCAATCTTGGAATACTTAAGGCAATGCCTATTGGAGTCATCATATGCGATATGTCTTGATCATGAACGAATATAACTTGTGTGTAATACTGTTTCCCCATTCTTTATCATGTATTCTATCAATGTTTTCTGCCCAAAACTTTATTATTTCAAGCCATATTCTCTAATATTTCCTGAATTCATGACAACTTTGATAACGTCACAAATCAGGTGATTTGTTCAAGATGTTTGAAGAGAATGTTTACGGTCATCCTTTGACATAACCAAAGAAAACAAGTTGGGAAATATTGTGATAAGATTCACATTTGCCATGAGAACAATACTAGAAATTGTTTTTTAAGTTGACAGTTTCTGTAAGTTAATTGAGCATGTTTAGTACTATGGATCTTTATGTGTTACTAGTTATCTTTTACAAAATGATATGAGCCATAGCGTCATCACCGTGGTTACTATAGCAACCGTAAAATGTTAAGTAGTAGGCCTGTTTACATGAAACGTAGACAGTGTAATGGTATAAGATATTATTTTTACAACTAGACATAATTGTACAAAACTTTTTGAAGGACCCTTGTACTATTGGCCTCTAACTATTAGGTAATTATGGCCACTTATCAGTCAAGTCCAGTAACTAAGTCAACATACAAAAATTGCATTTCTCAATTGAATACAACATAACTGTTAACGATTTAAGTCATTAATAAAATTTCCCTTAGTGATCCTATGATAAATAGACAGTAACTGGGTCAATGTTCTATGTTCAACCTTGTTTTCATGACTTTTAAACATGAGTCAACCATTATGCAGGACCTTTCTATTCCAAATTTTAGCTTGTCAACTCAAGTTTTTTCACAATATTTAGCCTTTTATCATGATAGATCGCCAAAATCTACATGTACAAGGGGCGATCAACAAATAACGCAAATAGAGCCCTATCTCAGAAAATAAGTAGAGTTAGAACACCAAACTTTGTACATAGTATCACCGAACAATCATCAATATTTCGAGGAAATCTCAGGCACAAACACACATCACATCAATTAACAGAAACTTTTCAGAATTGATTTACACCCAAATAACATAAAATCTGTATGACTTAACGGTGCCTTTCAAACTTATTTTGGACAGACGTTCAAAACCTTATTGATAGGATTCACGACCTGCTTCAGGTGCCCATACCACGGGTTGCTATGGCAACCCTCACTCCGACATAAGGTAATATTTGTGCCTCAGATTTTGTCGAAATAATAATGAATG